AGCCAAGGTATTGACCAGTGAGACAACTCTACGTGGATCAATTTTGTTTTTTCTTACTGAAAGGATTTTGTGACCTGAAACATTTTTCATTATTATTTATTATTTTTCCTATTACTGAATACAGTATGTGTCCCTGCACAGAGTGTGTCTCGTGTAAAGAAGAAATTAACTTTTCAGCCAATCTTGACTATGTGCTAAATGGTCTACAACAGTGCAGGTCTTTCCTTTTCTTGATAACCACTGTGTGCTTGCACTTTTCACCCGTCACCCACACATTTGCAGTGCTTATCCTATCACACGTCCTTTATTCCTATTAACATGTTAACAGCACAAAGTTTCAGTAAAAACTAAGAATTAAATGTCTAAACTATAGAAGCCTGGTATTGAACACACAGCCTTCTATTTGAAGAAGAATCTTAAAAGGAGTTATTTCCTTTTAAGGTGGGTATTATTCCATGTGATATAACGTTTACATCGTCAATATTCCTAACGGGATTGAGGGTTTTATCTACAACAGATGAAACTAAAGGGTTGAGATAGTCTAGCAATGGAGAAGGTGCTGATTTCCGGGCTGCTAGGCTGATTGCAAATGAGCTGCATTGTACAGTGTGCCATGTTGGGCACATGAAGTAAACAGTGTTCATATAATACATGGAGGATGGGATGAATGGAGGAAGCCATAGGTCAGAACAATTATGGACAAATCAAACCTTCATTGTGAATCTATATTTTATGTAATCTGACACAAGTCTGCTCTCCTCCCAGTTTGTGTCCACACACACACAAACACACACACAGAATGATGTGTTTTATTTTCTACCTGATAATTCCTATTTGATAAATGTGAATATGTTGTTTGTTGTATTTATTTTATATTATTAAAACCTTGTTATATGTTTTGATGTAAATAGTTTAATATGCCTGCACTTTGACTTACATACACGGGGGATGGGCTGAATGTTTTAAAATGCTCTGTGATCTGGATGTTCATGCACTTTTACTTTCCTACAGGTATAATTCTGTGTTTGTTGTTCATAATCCACAGTGCATGCCGTGAATCCAAATGGTGCAGAATAAAAAATCACACAAATTAAATCTCCTCCTGCCTTTTATTCCCGTCAGTTGCTGAATTTAAAATTTTAGACTGTGAAAAAAAATCACATTTGGGTCAAGTTTTACAGCAGCTCAAGTCAACATGTGCCCAGGGCTCAGCTGTGCTTAGTGATGTGTACTTTGAAATCTGATTATTGACACCTTGGGATGGCTGCTGAAGAAAATCAATATACTCTGTTGCAAGCTCAGCAGTGAAAAAAACCCCAACACATAATGTTAGAAAATAACACTGGCCAGATCGACACACACACAGCAGTAACTGTATAGAACTCACCTTCTTTGGACATCTCCATCATGCTGGTCCAGGAAACACAGTTTCCCTCAAGTGTATTTTATTTTAACAAAGTAATTAGATTATAATTGAATCAGTTTTATTTTTTCTCCTTGTCCAGCTAAGTCTCCTAAAAAAGTACCATTACTTGAGTTGGAACATGTCATTGTGACAAATATACTGTTCCAGTAGAGTGTATTTTTCTGAGAAGTTTAACATTTTTAAATATTTTGTGACATTCTATATGAAATATGAATATTTTTTTGTTTGATGTAACTTTCTTTGCTATTGTAAATTATGCAGAAGAATAGACGTTTTATAATGCATTTATTGGTCGTTCTGCTGAATATTCTATTTCCCATTAAAGCTAGTAAAATAAAAATTCATCAAAGTCATTGAAAAACAAAGTCCTTTTCGGCACTTTTGACATGAGAACTTGTCGATCTGGGGCGTTAGGGGGCGTATGACCAACATATTTGGTAATGTTATTTGAGGACTTCATCGTCCTGACGTATTTTAACGAGCAGACTCGTACAATGTGACACTGGGAGAAAGAGTTGCAGCGGTCCTTCTGTTGAACACGTCATAGCGAATCTATCTTAATAATAAGCAGGACATTTTTTCACTCAGAACCTCGTTTAAGAGGTACACCGTTTCTCTACGGAGCCATAACAGAGTGACACAACAATTCAGAGAGGGAAAATTCTGACACGGAAATGGCACGGTCTAGAGTAAGTTTACTTATTCAAAGTTATCCTTGTAACGGATTAAAGTCTTCGACAATGTAGCGATTTATTAGCACATTTGTTAGGTTTACCTGACGTTTTTATTTGCATTTTCCGCCCGACAAGCGTTCGACATGTAGGGGCATGTTCAAGCCATGGAAATCAATGCAATGTGAAATATGATGTCATTGAATGATACCATCTTTGCGGGTTTAAAATAGTAACAAAGAGCTAAATAAATTAACAACTTTATTTTGATGAATAACACTTAACCTCTTTATATAAAATGACACTGTTGCAATCGAGGTAGTAGCATTCGTTTAAATCTTACGAGTATTTTCATCATCGACGTCACAATTTTATTATTATTATATATATTAAGTTGTTCTTGTTGATTGATAAATGTTTCATAACCTTTCATATATATTACTGTTGCCGCTGCCATTAAGAAGCTAAATTTGTTTAATTGTTATTGCTGACAACCAACCAACCAAAGCATAAAAAGAAATAAGTGATCCAATAGTTTGTAAAATATTTATTGATTACTCGTTGCGATTGTACCTTGAAGTTATCTTCTGTCAAAACAGGGATCTGTAGTCAGGGAAGTACTAAACTGCTATAGGAATTAATTAATTGGTTATTAATTATTGTTAATTGGTAAAGTCAACTATATAGAGGAAACCATTAATTTCTTTTCATAATCACTGGATAACACATATCGTTTACACTAGTTGCATACCTTAGCTTTGCCTACCCAATAGATCTTTCATTATTTTGTATGTGGCTGTCCCAGAAGATGAAATTTGAAATAAAAATCTGCTATATGTTAATTAAATATTTATTGTCTGTAGTCGGCGCTGGTGCTCTGCATGGATGTTGGCTTTTCCATGTCCAACTCAGCTCCAGGTGACGAATCTCACTTTGATCTTGCAAAAAAAATAATCCAGAAGTTTGTCCAACGTCAGGTACGTTTACACATAAAAATGACCACACAGATTGTGCTTGTCATTGTTCGCACTCATTAAATAGTCCTTGAATAATTCCTTTTTGTCTTCTAACAGGTTTTTGCTGAGACAAAAGAGGAACTGGCTTTAGTTCTGTTTGGAACAGATTCAACCAAAAATCCTTTGCACAGAGATGATCAGTACCAGAACATCATCGTCCACCGCCACCTCATGGTGGCAGACTTTGAACTGTTGGAGGAAATAGAAAATCAAATTCACCCAGAGAGTCAGCAGGCTGACTGTATCCTTTTAAGCTTCTGAGTTCAACCACATAATGATTCATCACTTTATTTGTACTTGTCACTGACCGGTTGAGTCATGATGCTTTTTATTATAACAAAAATGTATTGGTATGAACCTCTAAAAGAAATACCCTCAGATAAATTCCTCCGTGAAATAAATAAATAAATGAAAAATGTTGTTGAAAGTTTTGCCCCCTAACTTCTGCTAACCAGGGCTGGATGCTCTTGTTGTCTGCATGGATCTTTTGCAGACTGAGACTAAGTAAGTGTCTGTACTACGTACATTGGCAAAATAATAAATTATAAAGCTGAGTCACAGAGTTGTCTTTTTTTTTCTTTTTGTTTTTAGGGGAAAGAAGTACGATCGTCTCAACATCGCCCTCCTGACTAACTTCAGCACTGCATCCAGTTCAGACAACTTGGATATTATCATTGGAAACCTGAAAAAAGCTGGCATCACTTTACAGTTCTTGTAAGGGCTTAATATATATATATATTTTTTTAACTTTTACAATTAAGATCATTTAAGGTACTTTTTTATTTTATCTTGCTCCACTGCTTGTGATTCACATCTCAAAACATGTTCCTAATGCATTCTTTATGACACTAAGTTATAATGTTGGTATGCTTCTCTTTTTACTATTGTTACTTCTATTACTATTCTTTATCCTTATTCCAATAAATTCTATACAAAGTTGTATGAATTTTCTTTTTTCTGAATTAATCTAACAACTGTCTGCATTGTCAGTCTGCCATTTCCTTTGGATGAAGATGAGCAGGGTGGAGAGGATGGAGACAGCAGGGGGCCAGGTCACCAAGGTGCAGGAAAAGGTCTGTCCAGTGAACAGCAAAATGCCCTGAGTATGATGAAACACATTATGCTGAGCCTGGATGAAGAGGAAGGCCTGGATGAAGTTTACAGCTTCAGGTCAGAATGCTCTTTCTACCTGAGACTTTGTCTCTGTATATTTATTCTTCTAAATGTGTTAGATTCTTATTTTTTTTCAAAGGCACCTGAATCTTGATGTGTTTTGTTTATTTTTGCTCCTGCTGCTGCGGTTGTAGAAATGCACTGCAGGAGCTGCACATGTTCAAGCGTATCGAGACGAGACCTATGGCCTGGCCCTGCCTGCTGACAATTGGTAGTTCTCTGTCAATCCGCATTGTAGGATATAAAGCAGTAAGTTCTTTGTAAAACAAACTGAATAAATATTATATATACAGTACATGCATACTGCTGTACCAGAGAATATATTTATATGTATATATATATATATATATATATATATGACAGATTCAAGTCAATAATCTAATCATCAACATGGAATCTATCTAATAATTATCAAGTACAACACAAAACATTCACCTGCTGTGTTTAACAGGTAACAGAAGAGAAACGGAAGAAGACATGGATGACTATTGATGCTCAGAGCCACCAGAGTGAAGACGTGAAGAAAGAGACAGTGTATTGTCTGGACGATGACAACGAGACCGAGGTGCAGAAAGACAACATCATTCAAGGTAAGGTCCGGGTTTTCCACTGTGTACATTGAATTATGAAGTATTATTAATTATTAGGACAGGTGACAGAAATAGACAGGCATGAGCAGCAGAGGTGAGGTAACACTCCTTAAAAAAATCCTAATGGAACTACTAAAGGAGCTGGTTTAACATCAGAGTCAACAGTTCTTTTTTTCTTTTTAGGTTTCCGTTACGGAAGTGATATTGTCCCCTTCTCCAAAGTGGATCAGGAGCAAATGAAGTACAAACACGATGGGAAGTGTTTTGCTGTTCTGGGCTTCAGCAAAAGGAACTTGGTATTGAACCTTTCCTGGACAATAATTTAAGAGAACTGCAAAAATTAAATTCACATTTTCTAATATGTACTCTCTTTCGATATGCAGGTGCAACGACATCTTTTCATGGGAAACCAGGTCCTAAAGATTTTTGCAGCAAAAGATGACGAGGTAAGACCACAGCGAGCTGTAAACTCATACAGCAGACTCTCAGACTGCTGTATTACTTTGAGGCAGATGAGTTTTCATTCTCTATAGGGAGAATCAACAGAACTGCAGCAGCAAATCTGTGTCCAGCAAAACCAAAACTCTTGTCAGTGTTAACTATTTGAATTGTATGTGAACTTGCATTTTCTGAGCAGCATGCTGGAATAGCTCTGTCTGCTCTCATCCGAGCCCTGGACGAACTCAAAATGGTAGCCGTCGTACGCTACGCCTACAACCGAAGCAGTAACCCTCAAGTTGGAGCAGCTTTCCCTTTCATTAAAAAGAACTACGAGGTGAGCTTTTACACCCACTGAACTTTTAGGTGAAGTTTATGACCTGTGTCCAAAAGCTCTGAGGTGACGAGTCCTCTCCTGCCCCCCAGTGTCTCATGTACGTCCAGCTGCCCTTCACAGAAGACCTCAGGCAGTTCACCTTTCCCTCTCTTGAAAACAACAAAAAGGTCACGCCGTCAGGTACATCCCTTTAGCTTGTGAGCTTGAAAAGTTAACTTTGGAAATTTTTAAAGCGTGTCAAGCGGTGACTCACTCACTCATTCATGTGTAAAGAAGCAACAGCGTCACTGCAGCCATTCAGCCACTGCCACTGTCGGGACCTGCCTATGTGGATGGAGCCAAGTTGCCTCCAACAGCCACAGAGAGTAGAAGCTGCTGCAGAATGATAACATTTCTGCTGTTGCCTGTGGATGGCATATATCAGCACGTCTGCACGCTTTTGCTTCACTATAGTGCTTGTAAAAGTATTTAAAAGTTCCTTGGCTCCTTTTTTTTCTCCCCTCTTCAGCAACATTGCAGCCTCTAAATTGAGAAATTAAAATTTTATTTTGGCATTGTCTAAACAAATGTAGTTGAAAAAAAGAGGTCAATAAATTTGAAACCAAGATGTTAACTAATAAGCAGGTATAAAATGCAGGTATAACATTTTTTTTATTTTAAAATATATATCTATTTCTGTAGGGTAAATAGAGGGGGCAAAGAACTGGACAAAACTGTTTGTCTAAGGTGTATTTGAGATACGAAATATATTTAAAGTTGGTCATGTTAAATTGAAAATATTGGGATACTGTATTTGAGATACAAAATATAGAGAAATATATTTAAAGTTGGCATTTTTGCTATAATTTTGTCATGTTAAATTGAAAATATTGGGATAATGTAAATAATTACTGTAATATCTGTAATAAAGGAAAATCATAATTCCCTTCAGTCCCAGAATGCCGCAGTGACACGTCAACTGCTTTTTGTCTTTTAGAAACTCAGCTTTCTGCTGTGGACTCTCTCATCGACTCCATGATGTTGGTGGAGGAAGATGAAAATGGAGAAACAGACGACTTGTTTAGGGTCCATCATATTCCCAACCCTGACTTCCAGAGGCTCTTCCAGGTACTGCAGTTACCTGTTTGTGTTTCCTCCTCCTTCTTCATCCTTTCTGCCCAACTACAGCATCACTTACGTCTTCCTTTTTTTTTTTTTCAACCTGTTGCATCAGTGTTTGCATCATCGTGCAGTGAACCCCAGCGCCCCGCTTCCTCCCATAGAGCCGTGGCTGAAGGCTGCTCTCGAGCGCCCTGAAGTCATTAGTGAACGCTGTCGAGCTCCACTGGAGCAGATAAAGAAGAATTTTCCCCTCACAGAAGTTGAGAAGAAGAAGCCGCTGAAAACCAGCGCCCAGATTTATGGCAAAGAGTAAGTTTGTTTCAGAACGGAGTCGTCTAAGACAAGGCTGCTCCTTTACTGTTACAACGGAACAGTGAAGGAGCTTCTTTGCTCCAGTCAAATACAATTTTAGGGCATTGTAAATACTTTTGGGGCAGATGGTAAATAATGGTCAATTGTTGTTAGATGCTATTAGAACAAAAGGGATTGTGAGCAATTGTTAAAGTACTATGCAGAACGAAATGATCTTTTATCTTATGGGGACACTTATTTTAGCTATTATAGCCCCTTTTCATGACTTCCATAGATGATGCCAGTTGTTTGGCTATTTTAACTACTTCTTGTTACATTTAGTTAAAAAATATTCTTTATCAAAGCTTAAGAGATCTTTTTTAAGAATAACATGATCTTTTTTATTTCTTTTTCATTTTTGTTTTACAGTTTTAGCTCAGTATGAGCAATTACCGTTAACTTTTTTCATCACAAGCTGTTCCTTAGCAGCATCTTTCTTTTTCAGTTTGTGATTTTTAAAAATATATTTTTCACCTAACATTTGACTTTTTGATAATATATGGGTAATGTGTTCTACATTTTATGGTGAAGTTTTAGCTTTTGATTTTAATGTTTTAGAATTTTTGTTGCTGCCACCCTGTGGCGTTTTGTATATAGCAGTTTTGGCTATCATTGTAGCTCTTTCTGGGCTAACATTTAGGCTCGTCTCTTTAGCTAAATTTGAGCTAAAGTTGTAGATTATTATTACACATACAACTATGTCAAACTTTAGCAATGTTTGTAATATTTTATTTTTAGATTTTCTTTGTTGACTTGTAGTTATGTCTTGGCTTCCTTCGTGTATGTTCATGAATAATTTAATTAATTTTGGGGAACTTTCATATCTCCAGACCTTTATGTTGTCAATCCCCACTAATGTCTGACCCTTTTGTCCAGTGACCTCATAGACTTCTTTGTGATTCACAGCTCTGGTGAGTCAGACGTCAAGAAAGCCAAAGAAGATGTAGAGGAGGGAGAGTATAATCTGGCTGACATCACTGAAGGCTCCGTGACCTCTGTAAGAAGTGTGAAAAAAGACAGAAACAACAACAACAACTCTCATATGTTAAAACAGTTATTTCACTTAAATCCTGACTTCCACTGAAACCCAGGTGGGAAGTGTGGATCCAGCTCGAGACTTCTGCACTCTGGTCAGGCAGAAGAGTCTTCCCTTCGGAGAGGGTGAGGTCCAGTTGTTCTGGTTTCTATCTGGGAACTGTGCTGTTCCGTACTGTCATGACTCATATCGAGGGTCTCATCAGTCCAAGATTTCTTTGTTTGGCTCTGATGACCTGTGTGGCCTTTTTCAGTCTGTCAGCAGCTGACTCAGAGGATAGAGCAGTTGCTAAGCAACAAGAATACACAATACTACATGAAGAGCATCACCTGTATCCAGGCTTTTAGAGAGCAGTCTGTCAAGGTAAACAACACTTTTTTTTTACATAGCCATAGTGATGTCAGGGGTTTTCCTGATGGAGTCTTAACTGAAGCCAGTTGTTTGTGTGAGTCTGTTTGAGGGTGTGTGGTCTACATATAGCCATACTTGTGGGGACATTTTTTTGGTCCCTGCTCAGAAGTTTATTTATTAAGGTAAAGATTAAGAATAAGGTGTTTGGGAAAACATTATGTCTATGGTAAGTCCTCACAACTCATGAAAACCAGACTGTGTGTGCATGTGTGTTTCTAATATTGCTTATTTTCTTTGAGAAATACTACTGATATGGGAACAGTGTCCTGGTGAGGACAGTTTTTTCAGGAATGAGAGGTTTAATTTGAGGTTCAGTTTGGAGTAAAAAGACATTGATATCACTTTGGATTGTGTCATCTGTTGTGTAATCCAGTTGGAGAACGCCGAACTGTACAACAGCTACATCCAGTCCTTGAAAAGCAGTGTTCCAAGCAGAGGGCTGGAGGTCTTCTGGGATCTGCTTCGTCAAGGTATGATAAGACTCCTCACTTCAGCTCAATACTTTGGTTGTCTTACAATGCTGTGACCTTTACCCTGTGATGAGGCTGTGAGTCAGAGAAAGTAGCCGATCATATTATTTAAGTTTTACTGTGCAGTACACACGCATTTGTTGCACCGTCGAAGCCAAGACAAAATACATATGTACGTGATTGTTTGTTTTTGCAATAGAGCCCCAGTGGCCTGAAGTACAACTGTGTCGTTACAGTTGACATGATTTTTCTTCTTGCTGTTTGACAGATGCCCTGACACTGATCAGCAGGGATGAAGTTGAAGGAAGCACCGTGTCCAAATATGAGGCTAATCAGGTAATTACCAAACAAAAACAGTGTCTTAATTGTAGCCCGGGTATTTAAAAAAAAAAAAAAGTTCAGTTTCTAGTGTTGCAGTGGAAGAAGTTAACCTAGAGTAACTGAAATGGAATGGAAAATGAAGCTACAGTAAAAGTCACATGTCGCCAAATCATGTGCAATCACCCATCTGATCAAACTGTGGGGTGTGGAGTGATTGGGGGAAGGGGTTGAGCAAGTGAAATTGTTGTTTTTTAAAATTATTTTTGTATTTGTGTCACAGTGGAGGGTTGTAACCTCTGGGAGGAACTGACTCTCCTTTATTACTCAGTTAAATAAAAAAAAAAGAGATGGTTCCCATCTTAGAGCCTTCCTGTGAAGAATGTACTGTATTTGTCAGTGAACCGAGGACTGAGAATTTTCCAGAGAGACTTTAAACACTATCGTTTTGTGGTGAAGGGCTTTATTTATTGTTTGTTGTTGTTGTTGTAGTTTCTGGTTGCCGAGGAGAAGGAGGAGGAGGCGATGGCTGCATCTCCAGCTGGAGACGTTGGAGACGTCGATGACTTGGTTTGTTTTCACATTACTGTTATCTGCTCCATTCGTATTTTTTGACACATATTCTGCTCATTTTCTGCACACGTCGTTACATGTGTGTCTGTGGAGGTTTCATAGAAACTCTCTGCTCTTGACTGTTTTCTCCTCTTTTCCTGTGCAGCTGGACATGATGTAAGGCAGGAGGCAGTGGGAGAATCTTAGTGTACGTTCAGAGAGAAATGGGAAGAATGCTCTCTTTCAGACGGACCAAACCGAAGCAGTCCAGCTGTCCATTGTTCAAGCCGCCCACTTGGTGAAACTAGAACTGGTGATTTTGATATATTGAGCAGTCAGTGCTGCACAGAGCTGCTTTAGCTGGAGTTTTCTTTGGTCGTGTTTAAAATCTATGTTTTATGTCTAAATGTATGTTGTATGACTGTGTTTTTCCACTGTGACACACATGGTGAGAACAGTTAGTTTGAATGGTGTTGATCTATTTGCACTACACAGAAGACAGTACTTCCACAGCTAACAAACTGCAGTTTTATTATCGTCATCTAGTAAAGCATTTCCGTCGTTGAAGTCTCGACTGTGCCACGTCTTTCTACAACACGATACTGAAGGCGAGTACTACTGCAGTGATGTTTGAAATGTATACAGTGCCGAGCAAAATTGTAAAAACAATAATTATTGCTAATTAATGCTAGATGAACAGCAGTAGCACCGTCATGACAACCATGTTTATGGGATGTTTCTTTAACACACCCATCGGATGAAGCGTTCAAACAGACTGAAGCCCAACATTTCAGAGAAGTCTTTTCCTTTAAAGATGGCGTCCTGGTCGCCCATAGCCAGCTTCATTAAAACTTCCTGGTCAATGTCACTCCCTGTGGTTATCACCGTGGAGACGACCTGTGCCCCGCGCATGGCACTGACCGCCTCCTCCAAGTTGGTGCTGTTAGTGACGCCGTCTGTGATGAAAACAAAGGAAATCTCTGCATTGCGTCTCGTCAGTCGATCGTTTCCTTTACCCACGATGTTGTCAATGGCGTGAAGAATCGCAGGCCCCACACTTGATGACGTGTCCAAATAAGGCAGACCCTCAATGCCGTCAGTGATAATGGTGTGGTTATGCGTGAGAGGAAAGGCTAAGTGGTTTTCATTCTCTTTGCCAAACTCCATCAGTGCTAAGCGAGCTCGCATACGGTCATTCTTGCCCCGGGAGAGACCCAGACGCACTGGCACCTTTTGCACAAACTCTCTGACCAAGCGGAAGTTTTCATTCCCAAGACGCTCAGAACCATCCAGTAGGAATACCAAATCCACTGGGCGTTCACTGCAAGGAGATACTTCAGGTTCTGTGAGGAAAAATTGAAAAACCAAAGTATCAATACGTCAGTCAGATGTTCACAAAACCATGGTGAGCTTTGACCAATCCTATTTGGGGTACTGCACAGACAGAAATGCTAACAAGGTGTTCCGCATGTTAACTCAAAGTTAATATCTTACCAAAGTTATTCAACAAAAAAAATGTCCGAATCCAAATGTACTTTAAATTCAATTAGGTAAATGTATCAAAAAAAATGTCCGAATCGTACTTTAAATTCAATTAGGTAAATGTAGTTTGACTAGAGGGCTGCATTAGCCCAATATACAAATATGAGAAGTTCTTAACTGTCAAAACATATTGTTACATTTCAGATAAAAAGATCAAACGATCAAACGATCAAAAGTAATTAGTGTATTTTTTTTTGGAGGACAGGACTTTTGTTGATAAGTAATTAGTGTATTTTTTTGGAGGACAGGACTTTTGTTGAGCAGTGCATGAATGGCATCACAATTGATCTAACATTTTGACTTTTGGTGAAAGTAAGCCCAAACTAACTACAAATTACACATGCATAATGGAATATTTGAAACATTGTTAAAAAAAAGAAGAAATCATACCAGGTTCCAGTACTGAAATGATTTCCCATATGAGCCATTTGTTCCATCTCTGTTGCTGCTCTCAAAACTCAACTCTCTCAGTACATCTCCTCTTTAGTCCTTTACTATATTCAATAATGATCTTGTGAAAAGTTGATTTCCGTAACCAGGATGTAGTGTAAAAACACTTTCTACCATGAATATATTTTTATATATTTTAATCTGTGACTGCACGGGTAAAGTTCTTCTGAAAACCACTGTGGATTTTATGTCTTATTAACACCTACCACTTTTGCACGGCAGATCGGGGCACACAATCACTGGTTCTAAAAGGGAAATCAAAAGAATATTCACTAAGTCACGTACATGTTCAGGGTTTGACAAACTTGCTCTTCTGTGTTGTGGTCCAGACTCACCTGGACAGAGCACAGTCTCCATCGTCTCTATGAAGTCCTCGGCCACCAGGTCGATGTAGTTCCTCATCTGAGTCACTCGTTCCTTCTTATTGCACGCTATCGACCCCAGGATCTCGTCGTCCTGCTGCTTCTGAAACATGTCGCCCACTCCGATCGCATTCACCACCACGTTGTTGTCCGCACAAAGGTACTGCAGCAGGCCGTCGTCATCACGTGGGTCAAAGCGACCGTCTGTGATCACCACCACGGACACTTTGGCTCGAGCCCTCTTGCTGTCCTTGATGAGGGTGTCGTAGGCAAACTTGAGGGCCGATGGGGTGAAGGTGCCTCCGGCGATCCACTGAAGATTCTTCACAGCCATTTTAAAGGCAGACATGGAGTCGATGTTGGGATCATCCAGACGAATGGCCTCGAAGGTCCCGTTGTGACTGAACTGCACAACACCGACTCTGGTGCCTGGAAATGTCAGCCATGTCACACAGTCAGATTTCAGGTAAAAATTAATCTCTAACCAAGGTTTTTATGGTTTTACAGCTAACTACTGAAATACAGTTTCAGGAAACATGTCTTACCTCCGCGTTTACTTGAAATGTCAATTCACTCTTACAATATTTAAACAAGTTGAAACATGAAACATGAACAATCTGTACTTTGTTATTGTTAAGTCAGAGTTCTTGCAGAGATCTGGGCCAACATGAGGGCCTTCCCAAATACTTGGTCTAAATATTCATTGATTTTAATGATAGACTCATTGGAGACAGTTAATCTATTTTGGCAACATTGATACTTCACATTATGATTACTTATTACTTCATCTGTGAAGTGATTTACAAGGGACACGTGTTTTATCTCAGCCATACCGGTCGGTGATGCAGGGTTGCTGGCCATGGAGCCCAGACGATTGATGGTGTTAATGACAAAGTTCTTCTCCAGGGTAAAGTTTGTCAGGCCCACACTCTCTGAGCTGTCGATGACAAACACAATGTCCAGAGCTCCACAGAGCTTCTCGCAGTCTGAGACACAGGAGTAGAGCGTTAATTTACCAGTGTAAAGAAACAACGTGTTTGTCTGCAGGTCTGTGTGGTGGTGAAAATGTTTGTTTACCACAACAACCACACGTTTCCCTGATATAAGACATGACATCACAGTCCTGCAACGACAGGAATGTAAGTCAGACTGGGAAAGTTTAGATTATGTAGTATTAACAAAAAATGTTTACTCACAGTCAGGCCGGGATCGCCAACAGGCCCCGGATCTCCCTACACACACACACACAAAAGAGCGCCACATTGAAAACTTGAAAACTCTTGAAAACTTCATGTATTATCAAAAATTTTTACAAGACAAATTCTCACTGCTTACATCTTTTCCAGATTCTCCTCTGGGGCCTCTCTCTCCTGTTTCACCGTGCTCCCCCGGTACTCCCTAAGGAGAAAACAGTTTTCTCAAGGATCAACATAATTTTCTTTTCTTTTTTTTAAGCCTACACATTAATTAAATTTAGCATTTGCTTTGGTTGCATCGTCCTTCACAATTGGTCAGACACTACGGCAGCATTTTCAATAATGTTAATGCTTAATTTGCCTTCGATCATTATCTGTTAACATTATTGCGGTTTGTAGTTCTGCCTCTTCACTCCCATCCCCTCAGACACAGTCACTGTATGCTGGTGATGACGCATCTAGAATAAAACAGGAACTCAAATTTCCAAGTTCAACATTTGAAATTGTTTCTCTGGGGGGAAAAAACCAGACTTGTAAAGCCACTGTGTGTACGACTCTTTCAGAATGTTGTTTTTGGAACGACTTGTTAAATTGACAAAGACTAACTGTAAAACAGCGTGAAATGTAATTCCTCCCTCAAAGCAGTTTTAGAAATTCCGTGTGTAGTTTTATTTGGCAATTTATTTTGGCCATAAAAAAGTCCAAATAAAACTACTTAGTGAAAACATGTCCTTATTGTTCCCCGGGCAGTTAGAAGGACCGCTCAGCTTCCTTGTACCTAAAAATCCTGATGGTTCTGCAGCTGAACTACTCTAACCTTTGCTTTTGTTCTGGTCATTTTTCAGTACCTCCTCTCCTACTGCTCCTTTGTTTCCATCCTCTCCTTTAGGGCCACATTCACCTCTGGCTCCTCTGGGTCCTTTGTTTCCTGGATCACCTGTCTCTCCCTGGGCAAACGTACCAGTCAAATACAGACATTTCTAACCTACAGTTTGTAATTATACCATGATGAAAAGAGAACAACATACAGGTGGTCCACGTGGCCCAGAGTAGCTGAATCCTTGTCTACCCTTGTCTCCCTTTGGAGATAAAAAACAAGGCACAATTAATTTTTTTTTTTTAGGATTCATTAACAAATTTGGCAGAATTTTTAACCTTCGGTCCTATGGTTCCCATCTCCCCCTGTGGTCCAGGATCTCCTGCATCGCCCCTGGTGCCCTGCAACCAAAAAGAAATTATATATATGATCAATAGCTTTCCACAATCTGACATTGAATCAAAATAGTTGTTGAAAACAGATTTAAGACAAATGCAGGAAACTCACATTTACACCCGGGGAACCTAATTCCCCTGGCTGACCCCTCGGTCCTGGTAGTCCTTGGTCTCCCTGGAAGAAAGCATTTACAAAATTATAATTATAGAACCTACTCTCCCACCTAGAATTTGACAATACGTGGTCCTGGGTGATTGCTTGTGCTTGACGGTTTCACAGGAATATCTGTTTTAATGTTCTGGCCGATCTGTGTCTGCCAAAGCCCACCCGCTTCATGATCCTCCTCACCTTCACACCCTTGGGTCCTTCTACCCCCGGCTGTCCCCTGATCCCCAGTGGACCTCGTTCCCCCTTTAAGAAATGAAAAGGACTGTGTCAGGATTTGCACACCAGGATTCACAAGAAAAAAATAAAATTCACAAGAGTCCAGCAACTTAGAATCATGTCAGAACTATTTGTCAAGAATTTTGTGTGAAAATGTCCTTTAGTAACGCCTAAGTCCATTTTTTGGCATTAAAAGCGTTGATGTTCTTCTTTGGAAGAGTAGGAGTGAAAGACTTCTACTGTAGGATCTGATCCAAACATCTGGATTCTCTGTTGAGCTCAAGAGCAATGACTGTTATTCCTAAAGAGTTTTATAATGAAGGTACTATTCTTTAGACTCACAGCGAAAGCAAAAAAACCTGTCCATGATCTCCAAACATGACACACACGTCAGTTACACTCTGTTTCCTGATGCTGCATGTGATTTTTTTCCTCTTTAAGTGCCAGAAATTTTCAATAGCAGATTGATCTGGACTGCAAGCAGGCCAGTCAGACTCTATATCTACAAAGCACTCTTATAGACATTTGTCTTCAGAAAATTCTAATATACTACAATAATAGTAGTTTTCCCAGGTCCGATCTAGACCAAATACTTAAATATTTAATTTGGCAAAACACAGTTTGTATGCATTTAGCTTTTTCTGAACACTTACCTTTTCTCCTTTTGTCCCATCAGGTCCTGGTCCGCCCTTTGGTCCAGATGCTCCTCTACTTCCCTGTTGTCATTTTGAAGAGTGATCATTTAAAAAACAAAAGCAAGGGGTAGCAAAATGATGACAATGATGATATTTTTAGTTGAAAAGAGAGACAAAAAGAAAAGTGAAGGAGAAGGAAGTTGGTGTGAAGGTGGATGAAGTGACGTCTGAACAGTGGCAAGTTTGAAAGAAAATTCAATCCAACAGGAACGGCCTGGATTGAAGCAAAGATGGAACTGAAGTGAAAGTCGAGGTTGGACACATGCTGAGGAGAGACGTGGATGGATTAAAGACAGGAAGTTGTGGAATACCTCTTCGCCTTTCGGACCAGGTAAACCATCAGGCCCCTGTAAGGGAGGATTTTTTTTGGCTTAACAACAATTTTTCACAGGAATAAAGAAGTATTTTTTATAATAAAAAAATCTGGTACCAAAGGTCCTTTATCTCCTGGTGGCCCTGGATTTCCTGGATATCCTCTTTCTCCCTAAGGATAAAAAATTCCTTAAAATGAGCTTGGAAAATGAACTCCAAACTTTCACTTTGATCCAAAGTTTAATTTTGTAATTTAACTTGAAAGTTACCTTTGCTCCAACTTCTCCATCAGGACCAAAGGGCCCAGGTTTCCCAGGTTGACCAACATCTCCCTAAACACAAATACATTAATGGAGATTAAACAAAGTATGTTGAAATACTGCACCTAATTCTTTTTTTTATGTTTTTGATTTGCTGCTGCTGAGGCCAAAGAAGTAGCAAAACGAAAGACCTTAAACCAGAGATTCTGTTGCTTTAGAAAAAAACAAACAGTGTTTTCTGTTGTTCTGCTGTGACCACAGCTGTTCTGACAGCTGTTCTCACATCAGTTCCATGAAGCTGGTAAAATATCTAACGTCTCTTCGAGGCTCTGTAATGTAGTAGCATTGGATTTAAACAACAACCCAAATGTCCTACTTTAATCTTTTCTTCTGTCCACAATGAGTAAACTGTCTGCACTTAACATTTATGAGAAACTGTAAATATTTAACTTTAACTCGATGTAATGGGCTGTCAGGCTGTCAAGTCCACAGGAACACGTCTAGAATGTTCTAGGTCTTTGAGCTGATAGCATTGGTCAATCAAAGTTTACTGAGTTGTATTTTTCTGTCAAAAAAACAAAAACTGAAAATCCCCAGACCTTAGGTCCAACGTCACCAGGCGGTCCAGTCTCACCAACTTCTCCATGGTAGCCTTCAGCTCCCTTGAAGAAATGAGAACATTGATCAACCTTAGTTCACAATGGAATATATGTATGTATATATATGTATGTATCACAATGAAATATATGTATGTATATATTTTTTTTTTCCATAACCAGTGCTGATTGTACAGAATTAGATCTACCATCTGTCTATATCAGGCGTGGGCAAACTTTTTGACTCGCGGGCCACAACTGTCCTAAAATTGAACAGGGGTGGCCAGGTCAGGAGCAGATAGATGGAGCGTTCGTGTGAACTAAGATAAATGACATGTAAAAGTCTAGCATTAAGGCTAGACTTTTACAAAAGCTTGCTACCCCTTGCATTTTCTACACCATCTATTGGGGAAATGTGGGCATTGCAGGGAAAAGGCAAAAGTATAATGATAATATAAATAAATTATATAATTTGGAAAAGTTTGGCAGGCCACATCTGGCCCCCGGGCTTAAGTTTGCCCATGCCTGGTTAATACTGACAATTATGAATTACTTGGCATTACTCACCTTGTCACCAGGATCACCTTTGCAGCCAGGAGCTCCAATATGACCCATTTTACCCTGAAGATTGACATATTGTGTTAAGTCTATTACATACATTTGATATCACATCAGGGGGTTAGGGTTAGGGGTCGTGGATGATGATGTGCACTGTGTATCCAATAATTCCACCGCATTTGTAATTCTTGTCACATCACACCATCGACTGTGATGTCATACATTATCATGCCATATTATTGCATGTTCTGTCATTTCATTGGTTAACAACATCATGTATAACATTGCGTTATAGAACCGATAAAACGACCAACATTCTTGTAACCATGACAAGCTGAGCCATGTACTGAGATGTGAAACCAAACCGAGGTTAGAATGTGGTACAGTACTTTATGTTACATGTAGTACTTGGTACATGTGTTTACTAGTGTAAAAACTCACCTTCTGGCCGTCAGTTCCATCCCTGCCGGGTACTCCTGCAGTACCCTGCAGAACACAAATATTAACACAAATATTACCCACATTGTTCCAGGTGCTGGGTGTAGAATAAAATGTAAAATCAAAGTACAACATTTGAATGGCCAGCTACCTTTGTTCCATATGCTCCAGTTTCACCCTGTTAAAGGAAAAACAGACGTAAGACAATTTTTTACTATATAAATTAAAAAAAAAGTAATTAAAGCAAATCCATATATAAACATATATATATATAAAACTCACCTTATCTCCTTTGAAACCAGTTTCACCCTATAGCACAGAAGCAGAGTATTTCTTTAAAAAAACGGTTGATTCTAGGTACCTGTTGTGCTTGTAATCTAAGCCTGGGCAAACCTTTGGACCAGGTCTTCCAATTGGACCTTCGATACCAGGGTCACCCTATAACATAGAAATATGTACTGAGTCATATAAAAGTGATACCACTTACTTTAAAGAGCAGAAAGGTACTGCATACAGAGTGTCTAATTTCCTACCTGCCTGCCCTTATCACCTTTTAGACCAATTTGACCTCTGTCTCCTTTTGCACCCTATAAAAAAATAAACGACAGATGAAATGAAAAGAGAAAATTAATGGCAAATATGAATGTACTCATACTTACCATTTATGTAGTGCTTCTGGGTACATTTATTTTTAAATACTCACCTTGGAACCTCGAGGTCCCCTTGGTCCAGGAATCCCAGGAGTCTCGAAGCATCTATGCTGATGATTACACTGCCAAATGTACATCAAAATAAACCAAACTCAGGAACAATGAAGAAAATACTGTATTTACTAATCCTACATGACTTGATAACAACAAGTTTAACCAATATTCTTCTCACCTGTGAGTAGGCCTGGTATTTCTGTAAAAGAAGTGTAGAGAAAACAACTTTAAAGTAAATAAATGTGAATACAAATCTAAACATTTCAACCAGGAGCAGAAAAAAAAAGAAAAAACTTGTGTCACCATGGCTTTTATGATGCGTTCAATGGATTCAGTTTTTATTTTTGGACGCCCGTTAACGATGTCCACCGCAATGTAGTCGTCCCGGTAAAGTTCAGAAGGAGTGCTGGCAATTTCTCTCATCCCTAAATGATCAATGTTTCTGGACGCTGCCACGGAGAAAACGTGGATTCCTCTCTCACGAGCTCCTTCTGCCATGGCCTTGATGCCCCCACAGGGGCTTCCTGTCACATGGCCGTCAGTGATGACCACAGAGAAAAGGACGGCCTTGGTTCCTGAGTAGTGCTGAGTCAGAAGGTGGGTCATGTTTTTCAGAGCACAGTCGATGTAGGTGCCTTTTCCCAGGTAACTGATCCCAGTCAGGCTCCTGATGAAGTTCTCCCTGGTGGTGAACGGGCTGAAGACAATCTGAGTCTGGGAGAAATGCAGGCCTCCTATGGACCAGCTGATCTGGATCTGGCCGTTGTACTCTTCATCAGCCAGCTTCTGGGCAAAGATCTTCGTGAACTCTTTGATTTGTTCCACCAGAATCCCAGGAGGAGACTCTTGTAAGGCAATAGTCTCGGAGGTGTCGATGGTGAAGAACAGCTTGATGGGACAGTCGATTATTCCAGCTGCAGGAGGGGTAAGAAGGAACAGAATCTTCTCTTTGGCATTTCTTTATTTTTTAAGACAATGTTTTGCAAAGTCATTAAAATTCCTTTTTTTTAATCATGTTAAAGTCAGTTTCAGTAAACATGCTTTAATTTCAGATTGTTTTTTTATTCAAAACTATTTTATTTTTTAGGTATAGATGTGTGATTTCTATACTTTGATATATTATGTTTTATATTTGATCATGTAAATTGTTCAGCTCTCTCACTGGTCCCACATAAGGTGTTTCAAAGGCCACATTCACTTGATTTTAATTGTCATAAAGAAGCCGTGTGAACGATGTTTGAGCACCCAAACAATGCAACACTTAACTGCTATGAACTCATTAATACCGTACTACTAAAATTTCAAATAAATTATGTATTCAATTATCTAATTTTGTTACATTGCCGGTAATACGGGAGATAATCCAAGCATGCACAACTTATAATACATTTTTACCCCGTATAACATGGAACCCAAGTACATCAGGAATATATTTTAAAATGCTTTAATAATTCTTTTTTTGCACAAATTAAATAATAAAAAGAATAACACAACGCAGAATTCAAATACAGGAACTCACTCTTACAAACTGGAGGTTGAACTGGGTCTGGACTGTCACCTCTCCCATTGAAGGGCCTGGGCCCTTCCTGTTCCAGATGTTGTGGGACAGCAGCTTGGAGCATGCACAGAAAAATGAAGCCTGTAAACATCCCCATATTTGCCGGCACTCCTTAAAAAGGAAAAGGTGGATAAAGATGATCACAGCTCACTCTCAGCTCACAGCTCTCTTTTATATGCAGGAAATAGCTGCCAAAAAAGTGAGTCTTCACAGGAGGCATCTCCACAGAGCACAGGAATGTTTATAGTTACGTTAGACAATGTTGGTGTTCGACAACACTTGAAAAAAGGAGGACATAAATAATAATAATTGTGGGTAATTTATTAATTTCCTACCAGTGAAACATAGGTGGCAAAACTAAACAAGTGAGGAGTACATCTACTTCAAATACAGAAAATACTCCCTAACCCATCATCAGCAAAAAATAAGAAATACATATGTATTGTTAGTCTAATTAATACAAAACCCCCAATTTCCCTTTTAAAAATGTAATTTATATTTTAAAATTATAGTGTGCATCAACTTTCTGTGTTAAGAGCTTTTTTTCTTTAACTTTTTAAAAAAATTTTAATAGAAAATGACCAAAAAAAAATCGAAAATTGCTTAAAGTCTATTTTTTCGAAAATTCAAATGTTAGAATGTTTCTTTTTAAGCCTTTAAAACCCACACACAGCGCAACTGAACATAAACTTTTATAAAACAGTTAGAAGAATGACTACTCACCGCAGCAGCGGTAAAGACCGAGTCAGCTCCAAAGCTGCAGCAGTGCACCGTCACGGAGGTCGTGTAATTCCCACAGACTAAACTCTTCAGATAATCATCATGAACTTCCCCCTATCACAGATCAGAGTCGAGATCAGCTACAGGATGAGGGGGCCGCCCGTTCCGCTCCCCGGGGTATCCACACTGCAGCGCGTCCACGAACACACGTGACCGCGCAGTGCCGCTTCTCACTGCGGAGAGTTTATGGAAGTTTATGGTGTGTAGACTGAGGCAACAGCTGTACCGCGGAGACACGTCTCATTCTGCTCCACAAAACAAGACAAAAAATAAATAATAAAAAGTGCAGTTACATAAATACACCACCGAGCAGCTCTTCATCTGCCTGACATCACCAGAGGCAGTCCTGGCTTATTGGGCACCTTGACCCAAAGCAGGCCCTGTGTCCAACCCCTTCAATTCCCCAAAAAAATCCTCCTTAATTCAAGCAAAATTAAAACTCACTTATTATAATCTGAATTAGAATATATATACATATATTTATATATATATGTGTATATATATACATACGTATATGTGTATATGTATATATATACAGACACATACATAGACATTTACTACTAGTAATATATATATATTTACTACTAGTACATAGTATACATATATATATATAGTCAGAGCTGTGCTTACATTTATACACATTTCTACTCACAAGTACAAGTTAATAAATGTCATACTTTGCGTGACAATGTTCGTATGCACACAATACACACACTTCTGTGCGTACACACGGTTGATAAATGCGGCCCCAGGACATGACATACAACAACAGTATCAGCATGTAAGAGGGTGAGCAGCTTTACAAATACCTGCTCCACTCTGCTGCACATCCTTACATGGAGAGAGCCACAGCACACACTGCTGCTCTGTTTATGTCTGGGAGTCTACAGCATGAAGACATCATGTCAGGATGGAATTCAACTGCTGCAACTGTCGAGGAAATGTATCGTTTCAGCCAATCACTCATCACTAAAAAAATTTTATTATATACTATATTCTAAGTTTATTTAGCAATGTTTCAATTTAGCAGGTGTGTTTGTTTGTTTGGTAAAAGTTAGTAACAGTATAAAAAAAACATGGCCAAAAGCTAAGATTTAATGTTTACACATTAGCATCAGGTCATATTTATTAGCCTCAGGAAACAAACAATACACGATGAATACGTGCAGTAGCAAAAAAGTTACGTTTAAAAATGCATTAAAATAAAGTAAATAAAAAAGATTGATGACTAAACGTAAATGATAACGATTATTATTAGTTATTCTGCTAAAAAAGAAACAAGAGTATGTTCGGTAAAAGTAATGTTAGCCTAAAATGTAGCAAGACCAGTTAAATCAGGATTACTACTGTATGCTACTTCTTTGCAAACCAAAACGGTTCCTTGATGTCTCAATCAATGTTTCCCAACCTTTTTTGAGCCACAGCACATATACAGTATATATTATCTGGAAAAACAAAAATCAAAGATATTTTCAACTATATAATCAACCAATTATTTATAGAACTATATTGTACAGTATATAGAGTCAGGGCATATTCATATCAACATTTCCAGATGATAATAATAATAACAATAAAAATAACTATTTGTATAGCACCGTTACAAATACAATCATACAGCTCAAAGTACTTTAACAGTTTGACAAGAACACAGGGTTGGCAGATTTTGAGACATCAATAGACATTAAGTGAATATAAATATACATGTCCTCTCTGAGGATGATCTCACCGACGCATGGACGCTGCAGGAAAACACTTAATTATTCATTGTCTCCTGAAGGACGTTTTCCTTCTCAGACTATGAATATGATTACAGATGACCCGTCTATCTTTTCCATGCCTGTGTGATTTTCCTTTTTTAATGAATCAAGGACGCAGATGTGTCCTCTCCGCAGTGGACGAGGCGAGGTCACTGCTTTGCTTTCCCTCTGCGTCATTTAACTTTAGTATTTCTAAGCATGTACAGAGGAAGAACACTGTAAGAGGCACTTACACAAGCACACTGTAAATCCTCTCCACAGTTGATCAAGATCTCCCACCATGACAATGAATCATTTATGTTTTCAATCAGTAGTGCAATTAGCGCTGCACTGCATGCTTTTACTGTAATTATCAATTCCTTTTTTCGTTGAGAATTTTCCATCCATGTCTCGGCAACGACCATCTCTCAGGTGCTCATTATTCTGGTAAAGAAAAAACAAAAACATAAATTAATAAAATAAAATAAAATACACACAGCATGTCAATATAATACAAAGGAATACAATAATATTCATTTTATACAGTTGTGGCAGAATATAGCTGCAAACATTAAACGTAAAGTAGTATAGAAGTACTCCTTCTATAATGTATTTAAAATATAAAAGACTGTTCTACTATAAGTAATTTTATAATGTATTTAAAATATAAAAGACTGATTCAAACTCAGTGCCTAAAAAAACATATAAAACAGACATATTCAAGTCCAATCAAGTATTTTCCTCGCTGTAGTTATGTTTTTATATTTGCAGTTTAGCTAGAATTATATTAACCAAAAATAGCCCCACCATATTTAAATGGCAAGAATGGCGCTGCACAGTTTACTGGCAACTGAAGCTCTAATACGGTATTTCTAATAGAAATAACAAGTGAAATTCAGTAAAAGTTGCTCCTCTAACAAACTTTTTTTTCTTCTCTGCTACAATTCTTCTATTTGGACGTTAGAAGATTGTTGATTGATGGGTTAGAACTCACCTGGAGCTGCCATTTTGTTTTTCTGTCTTTTCCCGGTCAAGTTTCTTAAATGTATCGAGCAGCTTTCTGTACGTACCGCGTGATATCATTAATTTTAGACTAATGTCACTTTAGGAAACTAAGGAACCATTGTACCTGAAGAAAGAGTCCACTTAGAAGTCATTATGTAACGTACAGGAGCGGAACCGGAAGCAGGTACGACCCAAATACGGAACCCTCGAGACAATTAGTTTGACAAGTTGCAGAGAGTTCATGTTCATACTTAACTCATGCGGGTACTGTTATCCACAGAAATATGAGGGGGAAAACGGGCCACGCAAGAACAACGAAGAACACGAAGAAACACACCATAAGTAGGAACGTAGGAACAGCGTACTGTACCATGTGACACGAGTGAGACTAACGAGCAGGGAATCATAGGACACAGGTGAGTGATAACATTGATTACCATCAGACAGGTGGGAGGAGAGACTGACGGGCCTGGCACATAGTGAAGAAAAGGGCATTTCATGTAACCCAAAAAACATATTTGGATGGACGGGAAATTAAACAGTTCTTCTCACACTGCAATTATTCCGTTTACGATCTCGCCTGATTGTCAGTAGTCAGGTCGTGTCTTCTCGTGTCAGTGATTCTGTTAAAGAAATGCTGTGGTCTATTGACCTGCTGTGTGCGTCCGTGCCAGGGAAGTGATGCTGAGTGGGCAAGTGAGCGATTAAGAGAGGCAATCTGTAAGTCGCTGTGCGTGGGCAACACTATTTTTAAACATTTGCTGCATCCCGATGAACTGAGAGTCTAAGGTGAACACTCTGTGGCTGTGCAGCATGAGTTGAGGAAGGATCTACAGTAAACATCTCTGTCTGACTACTGTTATCGGTTCGTGTCCGTTGGTGAAAAACAAAAAATGTTCTATAGTGGCCTACTAACAAAAGTATTACAATATTTACAGTATAGTACTGTAGTTTAATAATCCTATTTAATCCTAGCCAATACATTTGGATGCAAAAAGATATCGCTTTTGGCTTAGTTTTTTGTTAATGTGATTATTATTTATCAACTTATATATAAATCTTTTTTTTTACATCCTTAGGTAGTGAATATCAACGAGCCATCAAGAGCAATGTACAAGTGAGCCACCAGGGGGAGAACACAAGCTACAGAAAGCAGCACAACAGAGGGACAATTTTCAGGTAATTGATTCAAGTTTTTTTAGTTATTCGGCAGATTATTTCCCCTCTTTTTCAACAGCCTAAAGCATATTTTAAATATAATATGTTATCTTAAGGACTCTTAGCAAGTTTTAGACAAAATAAAAGTAATTTACGGCAGTAGAATCTACATTCTGGATGCACACCCTCCCCTTTCTCTCCCCCTTATTATTCTGGCCCCAATGAGGCAGCACCTCGTTTGTCAGTTTGGTCCTAAAGATACAGCTAGAATGAGCTGCAAAAAAAAAAAAAAAAAAAAAAAAAGATTGCTGGACGCCCAGCCTGTAGTTAGTTTTGATTACAGTACAACTTCCGGTAAAGCTACACAAATAAAAAGAAGCTGATTCAAAGTCCTAACAAGAATAGTTGCAGATGAATGTGTGTGTGTGTGTGTGTGTGCAGCTCATTTAAGCAGAAGAATTGCCCACACTGTCTGTTTTCTATGCTAATTCACCCATTAAATGCAGCTTCCAGCTTTAAAAATAATGCAGGAAATACGTGGGTCCCAAAAAAGGAGGAAAGTCGAGATGGGATTTTTCCATTAAGTGAGAGAAAAATAATCCATCTTAATTCTTCTGCCTTTTTAGTCACTCTAACACCTGTCAAGTTACTTTAGGTCTTCTTACCTTAACAGAAAAGCACAAATCCCTCATGTTTCGGAAGTGGTAGGAGTTACAAGGAGAGACTGATTTACGCTACACACGAGTAGTTGTTCAAATGTCTGACAGTCTGCTTCAAAAGTCAATACAATGTATTTGCAATTACCACATCATTCATTGGTTTGAATAGCTCTCTTTCCTGTGAGACTGTTATAAGGATGGAGCAAAAAGGATCAGAATGTGTTTTAATCAAAATACCATTAGCTTCAAAGTTTAAAAAGAAAAATAAATCAGTGACAGCATGAAGCTGTGAATATTTAAATATTTGAATAATTAATGAAAAGTGTGTGAAAACGACCCAACATGGGGTTGGTACTGCACATGGCTCTGAACGATAATTAAAATCCAAGTTCTGGCTGACCTTGTTCTCTCAAAAATACGCAGGGGTTCAAGGCAAAAATGCTCTTAAATGTCTAATTTTTCTTTCTTGACATCTCACGGTGCAGGGGCTTCACATCTTCACATAGACTCTCTCAGTACACTCGGCTCAAATGTCTTTCGACATGTAGAGATCACTCTTTAAAGATTAAGATGTGCAGTAGGATTGCAGATTTGATATCCGTTGACAACATGTTGATAAAAAATAATGTTGCAACATCAAAGAGCTAAATGTCATCCATTAGATAAGTAGAAGATAGCTGAGAAATAGATAACAGAAAAATATGTTGGAAGTCCTGACTTGGCTGAGGAAATAAATTGAAGATAGACAAAGATTGGTTAAATATAGCAAAAATAGGACGGTTAGCCTTAGCATGCAGCAGAACAACAAGTACTCTATTACTTATAAATGAGTCAAACATGCTAATAAATTTGCCTTGCCTGTACAACAGTTGGTTAATAAATATTTTATCTATTTATGTATATTTTATCGCAGAGTTGCCAAACGTAGATAAATGTTAGCAAAGAAACGCTAAAGATTAGTTTCAAATTATCATTGGTTAACTGTTGACAGCCAAAAGTAGTTAATATTACACCCAATATTTGCTTAGATCAATAAAATTGACCCTAAAGTTACTTTATGTCGGGAATGTCTCGTATGAAAGGTTAATATTTAATATTAGCATTTTACTGGTTAAATATTATTATTTTTATTATGTGTGACAGTGATAAAAGGATTTCAACTGTGCAACAGCATCACTGCTGACTGAGAAATTTCCAGGACCAAATTCTTGTCCGCCTGGATGTCTGTTGTCAGGCTGAGTTGTATCACAGCTAGGTGTGCTTTTTTTTGCTTGTATATTCAGAGAGACAAGGTGTGAAGAGAACTGCAGGCAAGCAGGTTCACCGTGAACTCTCTGCAACCTCGCGCTTCTTTGCAAGTTGCCTCCATACGACAGCTCCCACCCATTGATATCAGCACTTCATGTCCTAAATAATTCAGCAGAAAATCACGGCACCACCTGATTTTCTGCAGATACTTAGCTGCGCCGCTGACATTCGATGGTGATGAGAACTAGCAGCTTTAAAAAAACAGCACATCCATCGCTTAATGCCATGATAAATTAGACAGGATATTGAGGAGTAAACAGAAAGCAGCTACGCTGCACTTTATATCGTTGCTTTTTGAATGTCAGGCTATTACTCAAATACTACCCTGAATATTTCGTCAGTGCTATACCGTGTAGTATATCACATGTTGGATCAGAGAAGGCTCAAATAGATTCTCCAGAAAGGGATAAAAACATTTGCACATTTTCAAGTCTGCTGATAATATATTCAGTAATGTTATGCATGTTTGAAAAGGCTAGAATATTTAGAAAGTACTTAAATAAATAGTATTTTTACTCTGTCTACTGAACAATGCTAATAATTTGTTATAATGTAGTGAATTTTTGCGAAGGCTCAAAACTCCGAGAAGCAAAGATTTTGAAACGTCCTCCACACTGTGCTCTGCTCCGACTTGAAAAATATTCATAGTAAGATAATAGCTGCACAATCGCACCGTCAGAAAGGCTTTTTACGAGACACACTAAGTGTATTTGTGCACTCTGTTTCCCCTCCACAGTGTCAGTCCTTTGGAAAATTATGGGAAAAAAAATTGCTTACATATCAATAAGACCCCTCTGCCCTCCCCACACAGCATGTTTTGACCCAGCATTCCCAATGCACATACCATGCCTCAGATAATCGGCGTCCCCTGGGGGGGGGGACGACGATCATCCACGGATGTGTTGAAATATTATCAAAGTGCATTTCTGAATCCGATGCAAGCAATGGAGGAAATTGCCGGCTTTACGAGTGTGAACGCCAATGTGTGCGTAATGGACTGAGAGTGACACTACTGTGCTATGGAGGACCAACTTGTTTTCATGTGTGGTGAAACAAGCAGAAGTAATTAGGGAGTGTAAATGATGAGGGTTGTTGTTGTCATTGTAATTCAAACACCTCCATTGTCTTGTTTGCATTGTGGTAAACGTTGCGAGGAGCATGTGTGTGAAGGAGAAGGCTTCAGAACAAGAGCAAATTACATGAGATTCAGAATAAACAAAACAAAGAAGTTCGCAAAAATGGAGTAAAAATGGAGAAAACAGTGTCTGCTCTGTGACAGTGAACACTTTCCACTGTCTGTTAGGTCAGACCTCATAATAATAATATACAAGACAAGCGGGAGAGAATACTGTAATTATGTAGCATTCAAATGCACTGTATTCTGACACTTTTTGTTTAATGCATAACAAATGTTTCTGTTGCATTTGTATTGACATTTAAACAAAACCTCATAGTTTGAGACAGAATTCTAGAAAAACACTTTAGCCTTCTCTACCTGTCACACAGAAAAACAAGGTAATGTAACAATTGCTAGCCAAGAAAATGCTAATATAAGCAGAAATGTGGCGAAACAGGAAGATGATCTTCACAGCAGACCTACTGTATTGTTATGGAACAGATTTTTTGGCGGATTTTGGGCGAGATATTGACTTTGGTAGTTTCCAGTAAATTAGTGTAGGAGGAGCTACTCTACCATGGCATATCACCAACCGCATATTTGACAGCTCAATAAAAAAATTGATTGCAGATACTGTACATATAGTGAGAAGATAGCTTAGGAATTCTACATTGTTTTAAAGAAATGAAAACATTTGCGTTAACCATAGTTTTAGGTTTTACAAAAAAGTGTTAGCAGTTTTCTGCTTCAGCAATTCTGCTGTTGACAGTAAAACTAATACAATTTTTCAAAAGTCAAGGTTAGCAAAGAACGCTAACCCATATTTAAAACATAGACACAAAGCCAAAAAAAAAAAAGATTAAAAAAGCTTAAATAATGGCTAAAAATGTGAATGTAATTAAAATTAACTCAGAGTAATAAGCTGTAGGTGAGAAAAGAACACCCTAGTGAGCCGTACAGGCCCCTCCTCAATTAGATTTTCTCGAACATGTCCAAATTAAATTTGTTGCCTTTGTACACTCTGATCATCACCTTCCAACTGCAACTTTTAATAAACTGATTTACATGAGAGGACATGGAGAAATCTGTGGCACGTTTTAGGATTTAAGTGACATTTTTTGTCATCTGTCAAATGGAAACACTAATACTTATAATTAGACATTTGCTTCTGATATTAGCCATGATAATTTGTGGTGTGTTTGAGTTTTCAGTGGTAAGGGGGAGTCCTGTGGAATGTTTTTTTTATGCTCCTTTGGGGTAGGGGAGGGCATTGTGGGGAAATGGTGTGGGTCAGGTCAAAGGTGAATTCAGATTCCACATTTTCAAATGTCATGTAAAAATCACAGAATGTGTGTGACTCGTACTTCCTGCCATACAAGGGTCCTGGTAGCCATTAATAATGTATGAAGGATAATGAAGCACGCTCAGTGGTCCACTCACTAATGATGCGGTTAAAAGCTTTTTGTCATTAGCAAACTGACATTTGAACTGGTCCGCTCACCACCCTAACCTTTTTAAGCATTTTGCAGAAATTAGTATCTTTAAAAATAATAATTTCCCAACCATTGCTGTAAATCAAAGTTGAACTTTTATTCAATCCACATAAGGACAGCAGAGATGCATTTTAAACAAACAGGAAAAATTGTAATAATCCAACGCAGTTACTTTAAGATTCACCCCATCCGTCCATCCGTTCATAAATCCTTCACCTCCATCTGAGGTCAGGCTTCGACTTCCTCGTCAGACTGTGGTCACGCGCATGACCAGCTCTCGAGAACTATTGCTGGGTTGGCCGCGAGCCTCCGGCTGCCTGAGGTGGCTGAGGAGGTGGAGGATGTTGTAGGGACAGTGTTGGTCTGGCACTGCAGTGCTGCTGCTGCTGTTGGCGGTGGTGGGGTCCACTGGTTGTGCTCCCAAACCTCCTGCTGTTGTCACCACAGCTGTCGAAGTGGAGCCTGCCGCTGTGGAGGCTACCACCATCAGTGAAGAGGTGGAGGCTGACAATCCCACCCCAGTTTGATAGCCCTGAGTGGGCTGAGTCCTGTCCACAGCGGCGGCCTTCAGGTCGTCGCTGTCCATGGTCTTATCGTAATTTAACACCTTCCACTGCTGGTTCACAGCCTGCCATCGGTGGAAGATACGAAACACAGAAGGTCCCTCGTGGACAATCAGTGCTGTTGAGATCAGAGCATTACACAGACATCGTCAGAGTCTGCCAGCAGTCGAAATGACACAACCAAGCTGTATATATGCACTGTGGTAAGGCTTGAAGAGTGTATTAGCTCAGGGAGCAGCAGAGCCAATACTGCTCATCTTTACACCATAACTTCGAGATATAATTTTCATTAAAAACAAAACAAAACAGCAGACATGACAGGTTTCATGGCACAGAGACACTCACTCCTTTTAGATTAGCTAAGACGATGCATCTGTTCCCTGGAGTTGTTCGATAACACCTTATCAGGGTTTCAAATTACTTATTGATTTGTGCTCATTGAACTGAGTGTATGAAAAATTGAAATCCATCGGTAAGAGTAGATTCCTGGTTCCAAAGATTTTGACAGCTCTTATGCATGTTGGGAACACAACGAAGGAAATAGTGCTTTAAAATAAATTTAAAAAGTATAATATTAAAACATTTTATGTTAAGACCAGTACAGGGTCTTAAAGCAGAGATTAAACAAGTTTATTGATTTTGGTCAATAAATAAACTGTCCGTCTGATGCACCTTAACTGGGACAGAATAAAACAGATGCAAATGTGAAATTCAATTCTTATTACACTTATTAGAAGGCTGCTGCCTGTTGTGAATTTATTTAATGGCAAAAGTGGGAAAATGGAAAAAAAGATGCTACAGATTATTTTTAATTAAATAGGTGTGAGTAGTGTATTTAATCACATGACCATAATAAATGCAAAAACACTTTTGTCCTTCAAGTGGGTTTTTGATAATTGATTTTTACAAAATAGATAAAAGCTACATGACCAAAATTAAGTAAGAAATAATAAAAGATTCACAACACACCTAAAAATTAAATAAGAAAATTATGAAAGAAACGGAAATAGCTAAAATAAAATAAAAAATAGCCAAAGACTATGATAACCCACAGCATGACTATGACAGTTAGTCCAGAAAGAGCTAAAAGTTAGTCACTTCAGGTTTACATATTGTAACAACTGAGGTGACCCCAGTCTGTCAAACACAGACACGAGTTGTTGATCATGTGAACCTAACCTTCTTTATTATAATAACACTCTGCATCTCTGCATCATATCTGCTCAAAGTCAGGTCCTTGTACTTCAGAGCTGCCAGGTGAAGCTAGCCTCTGTGAAGAGCAGTGAGTTAATGACTCCACAGTCCATCCTCGCCACCAAACCGGAAACAATCAATCTCCCGTCCTCATCCTGCTGCCTGCTGCACAGGCAGTTACATTTTTTTTATATTGTTTTTTTTTATGAGATGCCATCAAACAGTCATCAAAACCCAAGAGCGTTCAGGCACCACAGGACAACAGCTGGCATCGAGTGGCTGCTCCAGGGTTCGGACACCCACACAATACATTTAGAAAATGATTAAACACGCTAGACGCGGTGCATCTTTGGTTTTGTTTCTAACACCTTTACTGTTACTGGAACTTCTATTTTTTATCATAAAGTTAAATACGTTTTAAGAGTGCAGGCTGTTGAAAAGTTTGTTTTAATGCAGCATTAAAATGGCTTAAATATTTTAACAAGAGCATTAGTTTAATAAAAACACTACTAACACTCAACTGATGAAAACCCCACTCTAATTTGCAGTACTTTAAGCTGTGTTATAGATTAGCTGTATTAAATGCCAATGGTGTAAACTGTTAATGGCATCCACATTAATTCGTGCACAGCTGGAGGGAATAATTATTGACTCTTCTCACAGCCATACAGTACCGTTTTTATTTGCTTTGCCGGATGCACACATAAAAAAAAAAACCCAAGTGAGCAGAACACTTCTTTCAGAGGAAAAATGTCAAAAAAAAAAAACTCTAAACTCTATGAAGAGATCAGAGCAGAAACTCACCTATGCACACCACATCCATGAAGCCGTACATGCCGTAGCAGATCTGGAAAAGCAGGTCTTGTCGCTGCCAGCGAGCAGAAGGGCTGAAAGAAGACCATACCAGCCAGGAGATACTGGCCATCAGGAAGAGAGAGCCCAAGACGGCTGCTGCGATCTGGACTTTCTCTATCACCGTCAGGGAGATGGCCTGCCACTGAAGGGAAGAGAAAGTGAACAGTCAGACTCTTTTCTTCAACTTTCACTAGTTATTCAGGAATGTGACAAACCCTGGACACCTTTAAATCATCCCTCAAAACAGTCCTCTTCACCATGGCATTTCCCTCATCTGTCAGAAATCTGTCACTCGGCCCTTTCTATTTTTTGCTTTTGCTTATTTATGTTTCTTTTTACCCATACGTCGCAGACATTTTGCAGGTCCACACTGAGTGAAGAGGTATTCTAAGGTTCAAGATGTACTTTGGAGTTAGGATTAGAAAGAGGGTCAGATTAAGATTAGTGATATGTTTCTATTGGTTATACAAGTTAAGGAAAGGTGATGGCTGATTCCTGTATAATGTGAAGCACTCACATAACACAAAAATTGGTATGTGGTACAAAATACAAAATGATTGATCAACCAAGCTTTTTCCGTTAAAATGGTACACGTTATATAAAATAAGTGGTCAAATTCCTGTATGATTTGTGGGAATAAAGTGTTCAGTCAGACCTCTGAAGTTCTTTGTCAGTATGAAGCCTGATTTGTTAAAAAAAAAAAAAAAGAGAGAGGAGGTATTCATCAATGTGAAGTGAGGCTGAAACGCTGCCGTCTCTGGCTGTGTGGTGCATGCTTATTGCTGTGAGTTCACCTCAGTCTTTATTTAAGGAATATATGCAGCAATTCATATGCATATATTTGACTTTTACTTCTCGGAGAGAAGTAAATGTTACACTCTCTTAGAAACTTCAGTCAGGTTGATTAGTCACATCAATTAAGGGATTGATACATTTTTTAAGGAGGTGAAAAGCTGTGTCAGAAACACATTCTTGAGTCTCGGTATTTGTTCATATATTGACACCAGCTTTGGTGTATAATAATAAGTAATATATTGTTACGTTGAGTAAAAAGCTACCCTTAAACATCCCTCTCTCTCTCTCTCTCTCTCTCTCACACACACACACACACACACACACATCCACAGTAAAAGTACATGTGCAGTGTCTGTACATCATATTTTGCAGGTAAACATTGCAGACAGCTCCACCACCTACACTGCACAGAGGTCTGTGTTTGAGCAAAGTCAAAATCAACAGCCTGTCATTCTGCTGAAGCCCCGGAGATTATCCTATTAATGAACGCATTTGGATTTTTAGAAACTACTACATCTGCCTCTGCATTCTGACTCAGCGCACTTGTTGCAGATATAACACATAATGGACTCAGTGACTCATCTGAGGGGTGACTTTTCCCACTGTCTGCTAGTTTAAAAGAGGCAAAAATAAATTGGTCATAATCCAATTTCCATATTTTCTACATACAGTTCTGAGGTTCTACTTCTGATTTGTCTCTTTTGCGCTTGTATTTCTGACGTCTTTTCACAGCTCACCTGCAGAGGGTTCTTGGTGCTGATGGCGATGACCTGATATTTGTAGTAGCAGAGCTCACAGGCCCAGGAGCCTCTCTCACTGATCCACTTGATGAGGCAGGGATGGTGGGTGCAGCGCACTGAGCCGCTGCAGCGACATGGACTCAGGAGCTCCCCCTGCAGGACAGAGGAAATAACCAAACATTTAAAAACGTAAGTCTTATCAAACTAGTTTTGTTTTCTTTTCCAGGTTTTGTTTCTGTGGTTATATTTTCTGTAGGATGTCATTATCTTCTATCCTTTAATTCTACAGCCTTGTGGGGGGGAGTTCGAGCCGATCCTAGCTGTCATCGAGCAGAGGTGCAGTACGCCCATCATTACAGAGCCAGTTGGCGTGGTTTAGACTGTGAGTACCATGTTAGCATATAGATTTATTATTGCCCAACACAGAAAGGGTTAAAAACTTATCTCAAGTGAACAGGACTAAGAGTTGAATAATAGAGAGAAAATATCTGCCTTCAGCAACCACTGGCTGTCTTATGATCCTTGGTGTTTTTTTGGTTTTTTTTTGCAGTTCTTGCACTGAATCACAGTTTTTCTGGGAGGTTTGCATGTACAATCTGGCAAGCATGCAAACACACACACACACACACAGTGTGTGTACACAGCACTACACTGTCATAGAACAACAGAACACCAGTTCAGGTGTGAAATGAAAGTTTGGTCTCACGACCTACTGAGAGGCAAAATGCTTGATGACTTGCACCAGTGAAAGGGGGGAGGATTAGTCACTAAAGCTTCTTTAGGAAGAAAAAAAAAAGCAGCCACTACAGAGCTGTCAACTGGAGTAACTGTTCCTGCAGCTCTTCTACTGAACAAAGCTTGTTCAAGTGTTAAAAAAACAAAACACTTTTATACACCTTCTGTGCTCGCAGAGGATCTAATCTAACATTCTGTCAGTGAAAGTGCGGAGCGTTTTGTCCTTATCCATTGACTCATTTGAAGGCACATCGAACATTTTTGACAGTGGTTATGGAAAATACTGGTTTTCAACTACAGACTCCCTTGGTGATTCTTTTAGTTTTTAAGTTACCTTTGCAACTCCACTGTTGACTGTAGCATGACTGCAGATTAGGTCAATTAGACCGGCCATGGGAAAAACAAAAGAATATTTAATGACCAAAGTTAATAGATTTGGTACCTTTAAAAAAATAGTTTTCTTATCGTTGTGCTGCCCCCACATCTAGACATCTAGTTCTTGGTTTTATACTATTAGAGATGTAATTTTGTTTGTTTCAGTAACACGTTCATTTTATAAATGTTTTACAACAGTCTAGACTGATACACACACACACACACACACACTAAACGTCTACAATCCCCAAGTGAAAACTGAATGTTCCTTTTATTGGTTTTATGTTCCACACCAGGCAACTTCACCACCAGATGTGAGTTAAATCCCATGTGTGACACCTGGGTGAGATCTTCAGTTCTGTTTTTATTTCAAATGTGATATAGTAAGTAGTGACTTTTTATTACATTTAAACTCAGCCAACAGTGAATGTTAAGGGTTTTTTATCCGTTATATACATCAATTTAACTCTTGTAGTACAGCCATGTCTGCGTTCTAAGGTACTGAGAACATATGCATTTAAGACCCGTCCAAATCCACTTTCCCAGGCATTCTGCCCTTTAAAAGGTCATTGGTGTCGCTCCACTGCTAGAGGCAGCGTTTCTGTGAGGAAAAATGCTTTTGTTTCTAAAGAAATCAATGCATTGCATCTACCTACGCTGGTGCATATTGAAATACAAAAAACAAATGAATAAATACATATAATAATAAAGTATCCCCATCATTCATGATAAGAGTGAAATGTTGCACCGATACGCAGGTTTTAATCTTCTGTCTCAAGAGACCAATGTGCCGACAATGCATTCGTCTCACATCTCAACCTTACATCAACTGCACTGATGGGAGTCAGTGTATTTTCACTGTCTGGGAGTCAGTCTACAGCGAGAGAATGAACCCTTTGTTTGAACTCGGTCTCCAAAAGTTTTGTCACATCACATCATAATGTCATCTACTGAGTTTTAACCTTCACGACTACTGCCAGTCTGAGTGATTTTAACTCTTACCATTGGCTTCATGCTCATAAAAACCCCAACAGTATTGGTCTCATGTAATATAAATGATGAATACATACATACTGCCTTTTTGGCTGTAACCTGCAGGTGGAGCATTTGGGTCTCTCTAGAAATCTTGAGTTTAAAGAAACTGACCAGAAACCACTTGTCAAAGCCCTTCATTCTTATACACATTGTTTACTAGTATTTCTGAGCTCAGTATTGAGTATTTTTGGTGCTTGTCTGTTCTGCACATTTGGAGAAAAATAAACAATAATTAGTTCAAAAATATTTTTGAATTTTGTCATTTTGCTGACAGCTCTGACAGACGGAGCAGTATCCTGGTGGAGAAGGGAGGAGATGGAGAAGGAAAGGCCCAAATATAGATGGCCAGGGTGGGAGTGTGTTGGCAGGAGCAGCAGAACACTTCTGCTGTGTCCACTGGGACAGTGAGACCGCTGACTGTGACCGCCCTGATCACAGCCAAGAGCTAAAACCAAGATCAGTTCACTACAAGTGAGACCGGAGAGGGAGCGCGAGAAACCGATAACAAACGTGACATTTCAGTCCACGCCTACAGAAAAATGGTGAAGAAATATCATTCAGACAATACATTTTGACAAATAAACAAAAGGTCGATAAATCGGTTCTCCTTCTTGGACCTCTCCGTCCACTTTAAAAAGGTCCTCCTTCTTGGACCTCTCCGTCCACTTTCCTCTATTGAATTACCCCAAAAACTCCTCAGTGCATCCAATTTTCTCCCTGTAAAATTGGAACCACCTGGAATGTATGTAATAACACAAAGCTAATTGGAGATGGCTACTCACCATTCTTATGGGTCTGCAATCAATATAAGAGAACTCCATTAACTGTAGGTGAAGGAATAATAATCTGGCTGGGGCAGAAAGTGAATGAACAGCATTTATTTTTTCCACAAGAACCATTGATATAAAAGGTGTTTTGGTGAATGGGATATTGTAGGGATCTAAAAAAACAAACAAAAACAATTTAATATATTTATTCAACTGCATTAAACTCTTCAGAAAGTCTGATCACTGAAAACAGGAACTGAGAGTCATATAATGTAGTTTTCCATTTATTTACCTGTGATGGGAACTCATAAAACATGGGCGGAGGAGGGGAGGAGGGGGTTGCCATTAGGCCTATGGTGACAGTTAATGGAGCTTTTATAGTGAATGAATAAAAAGCCGAGTCGGTTTTATAATTGAAGTATGGTTTCACAGCTCCTGCCTGCATCCATTTCAGTTGAACCAATACCAGTTCATGAGCTTTAATAACACGGTTACATGTCATTCCCAGAGCTCTTCTTCAACTTCTCCCATTTTATTCTTTCCAGAGTCATGGCCGGAGGTGGTGCAATCCTTACAATGAACAGGTGAGGGCGTGATACATACACCCTGGACAGTTATCCTGTTGAAGGGCCACATATACAGTACAGTAGAGTATACAGTATTCACACAGTCAACATACTGTTGTGTCAAATCAACATAATCCTACATGAACACTGGGACCAAACCAGTGATCTTTGTACAGTTAGGAAAGCGCACAAACCACTTTTTCCACCTTCTGGTCCTCAGTTCTCCAATATATGATCGAATACATAAAACCCCAGCTGATTTTGCTTTGTCATGAGAATTAACCACAAATGATCTAAGAGGGAAAGCTGACACTTTGTCTTCAAGTGTCAGAAGCAAAATTACCTGGCGTTGCTCTCTACTGTACTACAGAGGTCGCCACGGTAAGTAATCTCCATAGTGCTGTTGGCACAGTTTAATATTCCTGATGCCCTTTCTGACCTAATCCTCTCCATTAATCTGAGCTTGTAACTGGCACTCTGTCGCTGATGGGCAACTTTTGGGGCTAAGTCCCTCGCCCAGGGACACATCTGCACACAGACAGATTCAAACCTTTGTTTCTTAAGTGGAAGTTGAGCTACCTTGGCTAAGTACAGCTGGAAATCCCATGCTCTCAAAGCGCTGCTAGAATGAGGACAAGGCAGTGGCAGTGCTGGGCCCCAAAGGCCATCTCAGTGCAATAGTGCATGACACCTCAGGAAAAGATTCCTCCATCTGCAGAATCACTTCATGACCTTCTGTATATAACTCTTAAAATACTCCCACACCTACGCCTACTGCACCTCTGTGCAGTACCTGACTGAAATATTTTAAATCAAGCAAAGAGTTTGTTTGGGAAGCAGCCCCCATTCTATGGGGTCAGGACCAGGTCTGAAAGCCTAGGTTTCATTTCAGCTTAGCCTCTGTTGGAGACTTTCACTGATCTTTAGCTAAAAGAAATGGACAACTTGTGTCTCAATAGGTCTAAAAAAATATGTGTAGATAAAAGCAATAAATATATTTGAGTTTGTTTTTTTTTAACAGTGACTCACTTTTTCAATTTACTTCCTGTTGTGTCTCTGTCTCTCCCAGAGCAGTGGGGGCTTGGAGTCCAAGTCATGTAGGACTTACAGTATATTTGTATTTCTCTACAGTCTATAATTGTATTGTGTGAAATTCTAAAGCTTTAAAAAAATAACCATGGATGTAACAATGGTTTTATTTGACAAAAAAGTTGATAAAATTATTCAGTGACCATTTACTTTAGAAGGAAATACTACTGCTTTCATTCATTTGGAATGAAAGGATATGAGTTTTTTACACAAGTGTTGGAATATACAAATTTTGTTTTCCTTTCTGTTATATTTATTTAGGACTCATCACTTACAGTACCGCCAGTTCTGCTGTGAACCATTTCTGTCTCTCGTCTGTTATGATGTTCACTTCTAAATCCTGTGGGTAATTGCTGAAATCTAAATATACCACAGATTGTGATTTAACATTATTTTTGCACGAGTGCATTCAACTGTGTAATTAGCGCCCCCTTCATGGGAGGAAGGGTAACTACAAAAAACACCAACATAGAATGCTATCATACTCTCATTACTTTGTAGTAGTTGATTGCACAGACCTAAGTACTCTGATCGCATATAAAGTTTAAAACTGGTGAATTTGTCTCTGGGCTCCTATGACAGTCTGACAGTTTGACGGAAGCTGTCGGTTACTGTTCTTTAATCCACCCTGAGCTCCTCAGCCTCAGAGGTGGAAGTGTTTTGAGGGCGGACTGTCGGATGAAATACTGGCTCCCTCGATCTATGTGACATCCTGAGGGCTAATAGAGGAGGAGAAGAGAGGATAACTAATGTCCCTGCTGCCCACAACGCACAGTGACACCTCAGACACTCCGCTCATTTCTCCTCATTCTCCTCATGACCATTTACACCTCAGCAGATCCATATCTGGACTCCACCCAAACCAGTGGCTGAGGCGACAGGAAAAGGAAGATAGATAAGAGCTTGCATAATGACAGGATGGCATAAAATCAAATGCTATTGACTAGTTGTGGGGAATAATTGATGAGATGTGTGGGCTGAGACCGTGGAAATACTGAGAATTCTCAATCCACTTTGTATGCAACAGCAACTGCCCCGACTGCTTTTTATTTTTTTAATTTTAAACAAAAAGAATGTCAACCAATTTTATAACTTGACTAATTTCACTAATAATGACCAAGTCCAAGCTCAGAGGCAGATTGATGCCCAGCTGCTGTTGAAGTAATTAGCTGATGAAACACTGGGAGATTATAGGCCATACTCAGCGCAATGACCATGAAATGATACTCAGAATTTGCTGCCGGTGCCAAAATACTAAAGAAAATCAACAGTGAGTTTAGACTTCTGTGTCGGTCCTGGTTTTCCACTCTACATTTTAAAAGCAACAATCTTCCTCCATTAGAGCTGCTGAGGCTGAGATGCATTTTCTCTTTGTGTTTTCAAATCAGTCCCAGAAGGTTGTTCAGTCCCATCTTCATTTTTTCATGTCTTGTTAATGATCACTAATCACACACTCAGTCTAATATTTATATCGCCAGTGTTATGCCATATCTATGGTCTTAAATGTGAAAACTCTCAGGTCAAGTCTTTTTATCCTTTATCATATGATTATACTAAATTATATTTGTTATAATTTAATTTATAATAAATAGCACATTTTTCTTAGATAAGGGAGTTTTTTCACACTAATTTAACAAAAGATTTCGAGCACACATTTTTCTGAGATAAGGGAATTATTTTCACACTAATTTAACAAAAGATTTCATAGATTTTCTTTTTTTTGTTTTGTCTTTTGTTTTGTACTAGGCACCCACTCCTTCCAAAAGTGTCTGTGCAGGCCAAAACAGAGCATACTCCGCACAGTAACAACAGCTAGAAGGACGGTTTTTGTGGACTTACATGTTCTGGTCCCTGGAAACAGATCCTGCACACAGGCGTCCTGAAGCCACTCTCCGTATAGCTGGTGAGGGAGAACCTCTCCTCCAGTTTGCCTTTGGAGCAGTCCTCTGATGGGCTGCTGCAGCCTCGCAAGGCGGCCGTCAGCTCTGCAGCATCCACCCAGCATGCCACCGGTCTCTCCCCAGTCGGTGGCCCCGTGGCCCCTGCTGCAGGTAAGGCAGTCCGGTCCCCCGCGCGCTGCTGGCTTCGCGTTAACGTGTTGTTGTTGTCGGGGACGGCGACGCCTGTGTCATGGCTTTCCGTGGTTTGTCCGCTCATGGGGGTCAGCGGGGGCAGCGGGGGCAGCGGTGCCGGGGGCCCGAGCAGTAGCACCCTCAGGTCACCGAGCAGGACGCAGCAGCGGCTCTTCAGCATACCCTGGCTGCGCTGCATCCAGCTGTGTGCGGACAAACTCACGGCACCAAGCAAAGGTGCCGCAAGAAGACAGCGTGTACTGGATGTGCCCCCTTCATAGGCTGTGGTCCTATAGGTTCTTGGATGCAGGAAGGTCTTTATCTAGCCTAATGATGAAACCTTCGCATTAGTTCAAGTGTCGCCTCTGACTTTTACTGGTTTCCCAGCAGGATGTAAATCCACAAGAAAAATAAATCCCATCGATGCAAACAAGTGTCTGAAGCCATGAAGCTAAACCGCTGTAAGAGGAAAGTTACATGTTAGATCGATGTAAATGTTGGGTGTTAATGCCTGGTGACTACTGTCATCACGTGGCCCTCATAGTCTCATGAACTCGATCGGTTCAAGATAAACTATCGCAGACAGGCATCTACCTCCACATTCACGCTGAGAGCACGGACCCAGAACCAAATGTGCCTTCGGTACGATCGATTCAAAAAGACTACCAAAACAAAACGTCAGCGCCCAGTCCTAACATGCAAATACCGACGCTGAAGCGGAATATTCTCACATTAATCACGACGTTCTGTTAATGATTTCAAGACCTGTCACACTGATCGATGTCGAAGAGAAATCGGTCTTACCTGCTCAGCTGCCGTTTTCTCTCAACGATCACAGTGGAGGTGTATTTTCATTGGTGTTCAGCCAGACTGCAGGTCGCTGCAAGATCTATTTGAAGCTGAACTACCATCGCCAATTTAAAAAAAAGGCGATTTATTTTTACATGACTTGGTTATAAATCCCGCACCACAGTCAGACTGTCCTGCTCCGGGGTGAAAGCAGCACCCGTGTAGCCCCTGATTCTCCTGCAATCATTGGCTGCTGATACGGCGCTGCAGCTTCAGCACCATGATTCCTGGGACAGCTCCCAGACGCCACACGTCACCAACGCTTGGTGATGCAAGCAGCCAAGTCATGACTAAAAGTGTGGACCGAGACCAATGCGCAGCAAGGAAGGTTCACCTATGAGTGTTAAGTCAAACGCATGCAAAACACACGCAAATGTGATTTTTAAAAATTGTTTTACGTTTAAACGAAAACGGAGTTAACACACTATTAGACACGCTGACTGATCACTGTAGACTTTAAAAACAAAAGTAACTCACATCACTCCTGTGGTATACCTGCTGTTTACCTTTACCCTTTTGCCCACTGCATAAATTGTCTGATTGATACTTAAGCAGTTTGTACTTTGGCTCAAAATTTGTATCAAATTATTTTATTTGATGCCATGTAGACAAAATGTGATTCAGTTTTTAGATTATAGGATAAAGTTATGTTTTAGTCCTGATACTCACCTGTGTGTGTGTCTGTGGAGATGCTGTTCTTTAGATTTTGAAGTTTTCTGAGAAAAGAAAACTGTTGGTCCAAACCTCTAGTGCAAATTCTGTTTCCACATTTATTTCTAGGAAGGAAGGAAAGAAAATATAATATTTCATAAAAGTTCAGTACTATTATGAATTATTATATTTTCTATTATTGTAACTTGAAATTTCAGATAGTTGGTTGTCTTGCTCATTACAAGCTGTTGGTTATTTCTCATTTTGTAGAGGAGTCATTCGTTTGCAACCATCAGTTTTGATTGTTAAACAGTTAATAGACTAAACGAACAATTTAGCCAGGTAATACAAGGAAAGTAAATCATTTACAAAAGCCAAGGGAGATTGTGCTAATTGTATTTAACATAAATGCCCATTAGGCTAAAAGTGGCAAAAACCACAGGCCATTACAGAGGGCCATTAGAGAAACCTGGTCTTAAGATTTAAATTATTTACTACGACTTAGTTCATCAGTTTCATCAGTTTAATTTCTCATTAAAGAAATTAAAATGAACTGTTTTAGTTTTTTTTATTATTAATTTATATCAAAATTACTTTCATAAAGGGGCGAGACTTTTGGGCAATACAATTCTGAACTTAAACCCTTTATTGAAAAATTGTTACAGAACTATTGTTACTTTTTTTAAAAAAAAATTGTTACAGAACTATTGTTACTTCAAATATACGTATATAAAGGGAAGATAAGATAAGTAGTAAAAAAAAAAAACTACCTGAAAAACTGTGTTTTTTGTATTTTATATACTCCTTAACCAGTGTCGGTGTAACACTGTGCACCATTAAGGGTGACCACTGTCAACGCCCCTTCCTCAGTTACGCCCCGCCCACAGTTCCTGTTTGGTGTTACGTCAGTTCCTGCGCGCCAGATCCTGAAAATACACATTCCAGCAGCAAACATCTACGAAACAATCCTGGACACAAAGTTCACAAAGTTTTGTCGTTTGTAGACGAAATCACTTATCACCTGCTCTTTCATGAGTTCGTGTATCGTAACCGTTTCGTTCTCGACTCATAATACAGTTTCTACAGGCCCAGCAGTTAAAGTTAGCTAGTTAGCATCGTTAGCGGCAGCAGCAGCAGCGTCTTGTGACTTTTCACCGAATATGTGCAAATTTGTGTAGCTGTTCAACGGCAGCATGTCTCAGCAGTTGTCTGCTGAACAACTGAAGAAGATAGAGGAGAACAGACGGAGGGCTCTGGAGAGACGAGCCCAGAGACAGGGACAGACTGTCAGCATTAGTAATCAGAACTCTGCAGGCTCCAACAGCAGCACCACCTCAGCCCAGAGACTCGACCCGGCAGCACGTCCAATTCAAACGAGTAGCAGCTCAGCTTCTGCACCACAGAGTTTTGTTCCCCCTCCGCAACAACAGCCACAGGGCTTCAACAGCCAGAAGCTAGGAGCATCACATCAGCAGTCACATGGTTATGGAAATCAAGTCAACAAAAGTAACCACTCCAGCTCTGGTTCTGCTAAACAGGTGAGCATTGCTTTGGACCATTTTACTTTTACAACTTTGGATAAACCCATCAAATGTTCTGCAGTTGTAGTTGTGTTTTTGTAGAAAAATGAAAGTGCAGTGTTTTGCATACTTCTTAACTGCCTTTCTTAAAAAAGAAAATTGTGGTCTTGGTAACAACCAGGGCCCACATTTTGAATATACACAAGATGTAAATAACCTTTTTTTTTTGTCTCTTCTTGTAGTGTCAAGTTGTCGACTCTCCTCTGACAAACAATCAACAAGTGAGTTTTGGTGGAAAACCAGTTCAGGCAAAACCAAACCTCAGTTTCGACAGTCCTTCAACTGCTGCAGCAGCACCCGGCTCCTTCTATAAGCAGCTGACGGGTCGACCTGGTCCAAGTTCAGCAGCACAGGTTCCCTCGAACCCCACACCACCCAGGCCTACAGCTGCCAAAAAGCCTGCCATAACCGTGAGAGGAAAATGTGTTGCTCATACAGAGGGCCGCTTCAGAGTGGAAGTGGGCTACCACACCGAGCTCATAGCTGTTTTTAAATCTATTCCCTCTAAGAATTATGGTTAGTATTTGTACTTGGTGTCTATGGTTGTTGTCTTCCTTGGGATTTCTACGACTTTCACACACACAAATATTGTATTTTGTAGTAGTTGAATTGTATTTTTTTTAAAGTAAATACTGTCTCTAAAATCTGGAATTCTGCTCTCTTATAGATCCCAACACAAAGATGTGGAACTTCAGCCTCCTGGACTACCGACAGCTAAGTGCGTGCTTTAAGATAAATGTTATGTAAATAACAATATGGATGATCCTCGTTACGAGTCGCTGCTGCTGCTTCATCTCTGCTCATCACGACATGACATGGCTTTGCAGTGGAACAGGCGGCCTCTGTTTCCAGTGTGTCGCTGAAACCTCTGGAAGGAATGGAAGCGTTAGACATCAGTGCTGCCACCAGCTCGGCCCGTGACGGTGCAGCACTGGGGGCTCTTCTGAAGCTGTGCAACAGTTGGCAAAAACCCGGAGCCAGTCTGCAGGGCCAGTGCATCATTGTGTCACCGACAAAGTTTGAGGTTGACATTGGTTATCACGCTGATGTTATTGCAGCGTTCAAGCAAATGCCAACAAGGAACTATGGTTAGTGGAGTTGTGATTTTAAAAAAAAAAGGTTTTGCCTGTCTGATAGACCACACCTTTTACTGTTGTTTTTACATTTGACCACTTCTGATCTGGGATTTTTGTTGTTTTTCTATGTTTCAGATATGAAAACAAGAAAATGGAGCTTTTCACTTGAGGATTACAAGCAGTTGAGTAAGTGTGTGTGTGTTTGTGTGTTTTTTTTTCTTGGTGACATTTGCCATATTGTCTGACCGTGCTGTGTGCCATACCCAGTGGATCGACTCAGTGGGATAGCAGCAGTGGAGGTGGAGCCTCTACCCAGGGCACTGATCCAAGCCTTCTCTGCCAGGTTTGAAGGTAGGACCGACGCCATGGCAGTAGATGTCCCTGAAGCAGACCTATCCACCATCGACCCCACACTCACCAGCAGCCTTATGCCTTTTCAAAGGGAGGGTGTCAAGTAAGTGTCTGTGAACAGCCTTCAAGGAAAAAAAGAATCTGCAGAAGCATAGTTTGTTATATTAAAGAAAATCCAGGCTTAAGGGGTAAGAAAGCAGAAACGAGAAAAGCTGCTAAAAGCATAAAAAGAGCAGAAAGTAAAAAAAAAAAGGGCAACATTGACAGAGAAGCCTGAATGGCCAAAAGGAAATCAGAGAAACTCTGTGACTTATGGTCTGGTTTTTAAAGGTTCTATGTTTCCTGTTTGTTTATGTCCCTGTAGTTTTGCAGTGTTCAAACAAGGCCGTCTCCTCCTGGCCGATGATATGGGTCTGGGAAAAACAGTGCAGGCCATCTGCATTGCTGCCTACTATAGGGACGAGTGGCCCTTACTGGTGGTGTCTCCGTCCTCTGTGCGATTCACATGGGCCGAGGTAATAAAACCAATCTGTTTCTGCTGCTATCTAACCGTTATGCTTAAAAGAAAAAAAAGTAAGTCATTACTTAGTAGGTGTTAGAGTCTCTCACTTTGTTTAATAGTGTCATTATGGGCTCACATTAAATCAGCAGGCGCTGTCTGAAGAATAGCCTCCTGGTCTCATCTGACCAACGCTTCTCACTGTGCACTTTAGTGCTGTTCCCTGCTGAAGGCTCTCTTTGTGTTTGAGAAATGTTAACACTGTCCCCAGTGCTCTTCAATGAGAAGGAGAGTTAAATTGAATTTCCTCCTGTTAATGTGTCTGCGTGTAAGTTAAACACACACACACATATATATTTATATATACACAGTATATATATATATATTGTAATAGCAATAGCATGACAGAAACTTTTTTTCTTTTAGTTTTGCTTTTATCTGAGAGCAGACAGTAGACCGTGGCACCTGAGCTCTATGGTCCCCAACACTTAGGAAATTACATTGTGTCTTCCTCTCAGTTGTTTTTCAACCACATCACTACATTTTAAATACAGACATTTTCTTAGAAGTCTATTTTTTCAGCATGTCTGCCTAAAGTGCTGGAGCATCTTTTTTCTGCCTCCCTCGCAGCAGCATAACAGGCTGCACTAACAGTACTGGAGCTGTACTTGGCCTTCTGTCTCCTGACAAGATGAGACAGTCTGCACTCTAAATAGAAATCTAGGATAAAAAAAAAATAGTCTCCCAATCAGACACAAGAATCGCCAAGGCGAATTCAGTCACTAGATGTTGTCCGAATAAAGGACACTTGCACCGTCTGGTCTGATTTTTTTTTTTTTTTTTTAGACACTTGCACCGTCTGGTCTGATTTCTTTTTTTTTTTGCTGTGTTTGTACTGAGTCTTTGTATAAATTCTAAAGCAAAAGCATTGGAGTTTTTACCCAGACAGTGTGAGCTGAGTTGGTAGGGAAATGGCAATCAAGAGAGTTCTCAAACAGCTTTTCCCACAGCGAACATTTTTTCCTGCCACGTGATTGACTTTTATGAATCGAAACGTTGTAACCATGGTGGCGATAAGTGGCATTTGAACCGCATGTCGGGTATGATACAATCTTCTGTTACTGTATGTTCATTACAAGTTTCAGAGACTGACAGGGGCTGAGTCTGAAAATCAATAATGTTCGCCCGGGGGGAGCTCTCTCTTCCTCTCTGTGTCTCTGACGTAAGGCTTGTCTGAATATGCAGGCCTTCAGGCGTTGGCTCCCCTCCCTGAGTCCTGACAGCATCAATGTGGTGGTGAAGGCCAAGGACAACCTGCGCTCTGGTGTGGTCAACATCATCAGCTACGACCTACTGAGCAGGATGGACAAGCAGCTTCCAGGAAACCCCTTCAATGTTCTCATTATGGTCAGCAGAATGGTTGCAATGTTGACATCTTTACATTATATTATTTTTTAAATACATAATTTTCCCACGTCAGTCAAGTGACACTATATGACCATTTAAACCTGTAGTACCTATCACTGGATTGGGCATTTGAGTGAAGTATTTGTTCATCCCTAATGGTTAGTGCCGTGCATAATCAGCTCCTGTGGAGAATCCCACATGAAAGACAATAACATTTAATGTTGATGTATTGTAATTGTATTTTAAAAACATTAAGAGGCAAAGAGTTCTGTCAAAAAGATCAGCTCACACAAAAAGCTCATTTTCTTTTACTGCTGCCAGTATTCACTGAGAGCCAACAAAAGTCTTTAAAAAAAGCTGCATTTCTTCTTTGCAGTCATGATGTTGTAAAAGTTTTTTTTCTTTTTGATTCTCTGCAGGACGAGTCCCATTTTCTGAAGAACATAAAGACGGCTCGCTGTAAATCTGCCCTGCCACTGCTGAAGGTGCAATTTGTTCTCATTCAACTCTTCAAAATCAACTCACGGTACTGGGCTGTGTACCGGGGGTCGGGGGCCCCTGGTGTAACTGGTCCTTTTGCTTACAACCACACTTTTTTATTCTCCCTTCTTATGGTCCATTTGAAGTTAGTTCATATTCAATAACATGTTAGAGCTTAGAAAACTTAATTTATGGACCATTTGATTGAAAAGTCAAAGTTTGGTTCTGTCAGAGTCTTTGTTTTGTGTATTTTATATTTACTCATCACTTGCACTAAATATCTGTGTAAAAACGAGCAGTGGATTTTGTGGAAACTTCAGCTTTATTTATGACATTTGATTCACATCTCATTCAATTAAATCCTGGACCTGTGTGTCCACATTGGGACGACCTCAGTTCATAACAACATATGCTCACACTTTGGCCCCAGTTCTTCTCCTGCAACTCGTTTACACAGAAACTAAAATCAATTTTTTATGAAGGTAGAAGTTTGCAGTAAAACTCAGCTACAAGTGGGAATACAAAGCAGATTTTAATCTACCTGCCTGAATGAATTCTCTTTGCAAAACTTGATGTAGTATTTTGGCCATAACAGTAATATTTTCTTTTAGTATCTGATGTACTGTACACTTTACTATCTGCACTGTCTGTTTTATCGAGTGTATAAATAATGTCTGCCGAGCCTCGTGTTGTAGAATAGGAAAGACCGACACGTTGAGGAGAGAGCCAGAAGCTAAAACCTTATTACATTTACAGCTTGTAGTTGGGTTTACTCTGTTTTTGTTTTTCTAATACATTTTCTCCAGCAGTGGTGTGATCTTTGTCTTTTCCATCCTCAGGCAGCTAAGAGAGTCATTCTTCTGTCTGGGACTCCTGCCATGTCCAGACCGGCCGAGCTCTACACTCAGGTTTTGGCCGTCAGACCCACACTTTTCCCTCGCTTCCATGACTTCGGGATGCGCTACTGCGATGCCAAACAGGTAGTTTCCATGAGAAGGAGACGGCTTTGTTCCAGAGTGGTGGTTAATGGGATGTAAATGGGTGGGTGTAAGACAACAGACACGGAGGGATTACACCATATTTATGAACGAGTGCCGTTGTAGTGTGTCTTGTATACAACTCGGTACTTAGGAAGAATATCGAGCATGTGCACTAGACTGGGGAAATTCAACAGCTACAGACGATGTAGAATGTGATGTAGAACAATCTGCATGTCTGTGAGGGTATTGACATCTAGAGGGCATATATTCAGTGTCATTTCTAAACTTTAAGTGAGGTTTTGAGAGCTTCCATACACACTGATCATTTCTTCAATGTGTTCATCTGACCTTCTACAGTCCACTTGGGGCTGGGATTACTCGGGCTCTTCCAATCTGGGCGAGTTGAGACTGCTGCTCCAGGAGAGTGTGATGTTACGACGCCTCAAGTCTGAGGTGCTCTCCCAGCTTCCGTCTAAGCAGCGAAAAGTCGTGATAGTGACCATAGACGGGGTCAACGCTCGCATCAAAGCTGCTCTGACTGCTGCTGCCAAAGAATTGACCAAAGGACTGACCAATGTGAGTTCCATGTGTGAAAAATTAGATTTTTCAAGTAATTAAAAAATAAATAAAAATTTGCCGTTCTTTTCATAGAACTAATTATATGATTATATAATAAAAAATATATTATATATATAATATATACTGTATCTAATATAAATATATATGTTATAATGTATAACCATATATATAAACATATATATATAAAACCATATAATAGATTGAGTCTAGTACTTTAGTTTTGTTTTCTTATTTATTTATATACCTTTTTATTTATTTTTCAAGATTTCTGGTGTGCTCAGGTTGTCTCCTCCATCTTTGTCTAGGAACCGTTGATAAAGTAAAGTGAGTGAAACATACAGGAGGGCTTACAAAGCCGGGCCGTAGCCTCCACAGAGTCTTATTTTATGCCGTTGTGCTGCCACTTTAGATGAGTTGCTGAGTCTGATTGTGCATAATCTCATTACTTCTCTGTAACTTTTTATTTCATGTTGTCTCCTATCTCCCGTAGAAAGAAGAGAAGGACGCACTCCTGGTCTTTTATAACCACACAGCTGTAGCCAAACTGCAAACCATTATGTAAGTACAGACGCTGTAATGGCTGTAACCCTCATCTTAGGGTTTTGTTCTGCAGCGAGTTCAGACTGTGAAATGAATCAGAATCCTTTGTCAGATGCTTGTGATTGCGCTGGAGATGAAATAATGTTTCAGTGTGATTTAAAAAAAAAAAAAAAAAGAAAGAAAAAGAAATAATGGAGAGAGAATATGGTGTCTGACACTGCCAGGGAGTACATCACAGACATGCTGGAGTGTGGGAGGGAGAAGTTTCTGGTGTTTGCTCATCACAAGTCAGTCCTGGATCATATCACATCTGAGCTGGGAAAAAAGGTAAACAAGACTTAGAACTTCAAGTTACACACAGACGAAGCTGGTAATTAACATTTTTTTAATTGTACATGATTTTAGAATTTATTTTGTAGGTGTAAAAAAAACAGAGAATATGGCTGCCTCTTCTTTATACTCTGGTTAGGTTTTATGAATGCATCTTAAGGTATTAAGTTTGAGGTATAACGCTTATAATTGGCCTTTTCTTCATTGGCTTTATTTCTTCTTCGTCTGTTCATAACATCTGTGCATTTTTTGGTTCACATTACTGCCCCCTTCAGGATAGATTTACCACTAAAAATAAAAGTTCTGTTTATAATAGTGTATCCTAAGTTAGTCAGGATTGTGGGAAAAAAAAATTCACGTTTGGAAATGCATCTAACTTCACCCAACTGTTTATGTAAGATTTTAGAGATTTTCAACCCCTCTTTGGTCAGTATAAAAATTACCTTTACTAATATCATACCCATGTCAGTGCACCTATTTGGTTTAGAGATGTTGGAACCAATGTTTATTTCTTGGACAGTGACATCAGTCCTAAGTTTCGATTTGTCTCCTCTGGTCCCAGGACGTCAGTTTCATCCGTATCGATGGCTCCACACCGGCAATAGACAGACACCAGCTGTGTCAGAGCTTTCAGCTCTCCACGAAGACCTGCGTGGCTGTACTCTCCATCACCGCAGCCAACATGGGTCTGACGCTGCACTCCGCTGACCTGGTGATCTTTGCTGAGTTGTTCTGGAACCCTGGGGTAGGTTAGAAGTCGATGTGTTACTGCTGAGTGCTGCACAATCATTAATTTTGCCTTATATGAAAATGCAATGCATTGATAAAAATGGTTCTGAACCACCGTGTTCTAGTCTGGTGGTACTTTTTAGTAGCCATGGTTCCCTCGCATTAGAACCGGTGAGCTAATGAATATAAAAACTGAAATCTTCCAACCCATTCTTTTCCATTCCGTCTTTTCAGAGTCACCTTGTTGGTATAAGATTATACTGTTCATACAAATAATGACTTATTCTCATCTTTGTAATCATTTGAATTTTAAGGCTGTTTGTTTGGTTTTTGTGGTGAAGGTCAAGGGATAAATAAGTAAATATTTTGCCAAGAAATGAAATATTTCAGTGAGGTTTTGGAATTGTTTTTGTTTGAACATCTGTCTGTTCAACGACTCATGGAGTTATTTCCGAGAGGGAAGTCACTGTTGTGAGAACGGCGGCCTGGAGAAAAGACAAGAAAATGAAAATTTAACTAATTGAGCAGAAAATTGTCTCGTTTTGTTGTTCTTCCACAAAGTCTTCCACAAAATTGCCATAGCGTCGGGGTCTTCCAGGGAAAAGCAGTGGTGGGTGCAGACATACGCCCACCACCGTAGGGCTGAGGTTTGCTCACGTCAGCTGACTGATGGACCACATCCGTGTGGCCGCTGAGGAAATGAACAACAATCAGCAGCTGAAGATACATTTGTCTCCGCTGTATGACGACATGTTAAGTGGTTCTACAGATGACCGCTGCAGTTTCCTGTTGCTGCCAAAGCAATCGTGATTATATCTCTGTGTTCCAGTATGAAGTATCATCTGACTTCCACAGTAATGGCTTTAAAGCCAGTAACCAGCCTGCACTCCTGCAGCTCCTGTCCTGCGTGACATTGTTTGGGAGTAATTTTGTGGGTGATGATGTTTGTATTTCTGTGAGCAGAGAGCCGAGCAGGTTGGAGAGTGAGTGTGAGACTGTGTGTGTGCTTCATATTCACCGAAGAAATCCCAACTGAATTTCACTCCATGTGGCAGCTTATTTTCCTCTGCTTTTGTCAATGTGAGGCTTGGCGTCATCCAGGAATAACTATTTCACATGGGAGAATAAGTCTCACTCTGTGTGTCAGAGGAACTGCTCTGCTCCTGCCCCCTCCCCTCCCTCTCCATCAGCAGCAGAGCTGCAGGTGAAGAGAAGATGTGACACTGATCACAATCCTGGCAAAGAGTGCTTTCTTTAGGCGGTATTAGGAGACGGACTCTGAGGGATTCTAAATTCCTGCGCCGGTGTAAAATGACAGCACCGAGAACAAATATGGTTTTTAACTCCGAGTCTTAGACCTGATGTGTTTTGCATTCTTCTAAAATATTTTTTTTATTTCTCTGAAGGTTCTTATTCAGGCGGAGGACAGAGTTCACCGCATCGGACAAACCAACAATGTCAACATTCACTACCTGGTTGCCAAGGGAACAGCTGACGATCATCTGTGGTAAGTGTCAATTTTTGTTAACTTCCTTTGTCATTATTGCTTGCCCACTGAGCTGCAAGTGACTTTTTAACAATAAACTGAAAAGTCTTTCCTTTCTCTTGTGATTTTTTTTTTCATGTCTCCAGGCCAATGATCCAGGGCAAAATGAACGTCTTGGAGCAAGTGGGTCTTTCTGAGTCCAACCTCTCAGACAAGGCAGTCAGTGGAACCTTCCATTCTAAGGTACAGAGACACTTGTAAAAGAGAAGCGTCTTAAAGAAGTGGCTCTAGAAACAGAGCAGTATGAAGAAAAAGAAAAAAAACAAGTTATCATTTGATAAAGTCAAGTCAACAACATGGTGTCGAAACAGTTTGGTGACTTTTATTTTATTCCATTCTTCTGATGAAACAGTTTTAACAGGTGTTTGTCAGAAGATTCACACTTTGTAACTGCCTCTGTTCAGGACTCCAAACAGAGGACCATCACGGAGATGTTTCAGACGTCTTTCACGGCAGACGACGAGGACTCCTTACTGGAAGCCACAAATGACTGGGACGACTCTCCGTCAGGGAACACTTCTGGACCATAGCGCCACAGTGTGGCTGGTCAAAGTCACATTAAAGACTATTTCAGCAGATGATGTGGGGAACTTGGCAGTTTGACAAAGTCATTTTGATAATTTGTCAAACTAGTTCCTAGTTTTGAACTATGTCTGCCAATCATGACACGTGCAATAAAACAACTAATAAGTGTAAAAAATAAATACAAGTCTGATGGTTAATATGGTTCTTCTGAAACTTAAACTTAAAAACCTTTTGATGTTACCATTTGAGAAATTGGCTTTCAAATATTAACAAATAACACAAGAAGCCTGGGAAATTCAGAAGTCAATTGTTCAGAAGTCAATTTAAAAAGAATGCTAAATTATTAGTTTTTACCCAGTCTCTAAAATAAAAAAACATTTTGAATGAACAAATGCTCCTTATAATCTGTACTGTGAAATATCTTTAATCCACACACTGGATTAACCTGCATGTGATATTAACATAATTTTTCTGTCAAATATTCCTGATACTAACATTCCCATTATCCCAGGTTTGGGACAAGTGTTACATGAGGTGCTCTGTCCAGAGTCCTAGGATGGTTAGTTCAAATTGTCTCCTGTCTGACTGGCGTCTGGACTCTCTGGATCACCTGCCAAACCGAGAGGGAGGGGGAAAAAGATCATCAAACTGGTACAGGTGGGTAAAAACCTTCAACTTTTTATTGTTTACTTATTTTTGGATTAACTGTTACTGTATTGAAATGACATGGATGTATTGATTATATGGCTCTTGACTCCTCTACCATCAATGTCTGAACTCATTGATGGTATCCTGGGTGGTAACTCTTAATTAACAAGGTCACTGTGGGGCAGTGGTGTGAAAATCTTGTGGCTCAATGTACTTTGCGGACCTGTCAGTGCCGGATGGATGCAGTTGTAGCTTAACAATACAGGAAAGACTAATAAGATTATTTGCTCTCAGTTTTTACTGATAAGATTGACAAGTTTGTATCAATGTGTGACGGGCTAGATTAGAGAGCCATGTGGGCTGTATTTGGCCTGTGTGCCGTAGATTTATCATGTCTACTCTGAGGAATTATTCGGTGTTGTCTGTGGACATAATGGTAGGAGAATTTGTTAGGATAAGAGTTGATCAAGCTCTTCTGGTGCTTTCAAAAACACTGCCTGGGAATCTGTTAAAGGCTGTGGACAAATGCGTTTAAATGTTTCTGTGAATGTTAAATGACCAATGAAGCTAAATCTTTTTTTTTTTACGAGAAATATTCTTTTCCAAAGTGTTGCTCTTGCTGATTGGTTGTTTAAACCTTGGTCAAATAGATTGTATTCTTTTCCAAAGTGTTGCTGTTACAGCTACAAGGTGGTGATGGGCTGCAGCCATTTACACAGGATTGGTTGTTTTTAACTGTTGTTTAAACCTTGGTCAAATAGATTGTATTTCCATAGTCAGGTACAGGTGATTCAGATGTGGGATTCAGTTGATGCCAAAGCATAGGCTGACTTTCAGTTCTTGCTTCTTCACATTGGAATCCACAAGGTTCACTTTTCTAACAGCGACTTGGATAAGTCATAGTTTTTTTATGTGCACATAAAATCACTGAAACCATTTTCCATTCATACCCATCTGTTGCTGCTGATTGTCATCAGAAGTGTCTTCACCATGGGATCCAGACACTGCTGTATTTTCTTTTCCAGGATTTTCTTGCTCTTTTGCTGGAAAGAAATTGATCTTTGCTTTAGGCTGAAATTTAAAATGGAGTTTGTCTTTCCATCCATAAAAAAGGTTTTAGAATAAGCTAAATTCTTGCAGAAGCTGGATATAAGAACCAACATCTTCAAACATATGCATTATGTTATGTGTATGGATGCAGATGGAAATGATGGATTACCTGGAATGCTTCCATCAGAGTTAGATTCTGCATCTGTGCAGATTTCACCAAAAATAAAACCGATCTTTTCCTCTGCGTGTTGCTCGTTTGAAGCACCGTGGACCGAGTTGTGGAGGATACTGCTGGCAAAGCGAGCCCTCAAGGAATTTGGGGATGTCACTTTGGCCTGCTCTGGGTCTGTGGGGCCCATCATGGCCCTCCATTCCTCCACTGCATTTTCCTTGGTCAGGACAAGCATCGTGCAGGGTCCGCTTAAAAAGAAAAAGAAGAAATGAAATAGATTGTAACAAAGAGAATGTATTCTATTATCAAAGATTACTAACAGTTTTGTGTGCGAACAATTCTAATTAACTACATCCTTGCTTCGAAGCACAGAAAGATGTAAGAAAAATATAACTCTTATGCTAAAGGTAAATTACAAAATGAGGTTAATCTTAGACTGTCCCTGCATGGGTAGAGTTACGCACTCAGTATATCCAATTTTTCCACCATCTATCTACTTATCGTCACTTTTATACACGGTGTACATGTATATGTAGTGTTATAATGTCAGACACCTAGCTGGTCAGGCCAGTAGGTCACAAACTCTCAATTAACGAGATTGAAAATTGTTTGTCAGCCCAAGTTTAACGTCATAAAAATTGTGCGATTAAAACACGCTCGTGATAGAGATGCGATACGCCTTGCTGTGGCCTCTGTGTTCCACCAGTGAGAGAGGGAACGAACAAATGACACGTTAAACCAACCGACACATGAACTCCACCAGCTGCTCAAAGAAAGGCTTTCCCCGGTGCTCCTTATAAAACTCCTCAGCCATTTCCTTTGATAGCACCGTCTCCTTCAGCTGTGCCACAGTGAAACCAGTGGCCTGGATCTCTTCCAATATTCCCTCTGAGAGAGGCAATAAATAAAAGATGTTAAAGGGCCAATTCATTTTCTCACTCCATCTGTATAAGCACAGGTTAATATTTACAAGTCCATCTCATTCCAAATGACCTTTGTGCTCCTCCATGGCATCGGGTTTGATGACTGCCAGTGTTCGCTGCATGGGGAAGAAGAAGTTAATCTCTCGCTCTGCCTCTTCCTGATTTGCACTTCCATGGAGCTGGTTGATGGGCTCATTCTCCACAGCAAACTGAGCTCTCAGACTGAAAGATGAAGTCGGCGGGAAGGCCAGAAAGATCTAGCTTTTTATTTTTGACAATTTCAGTGCAACCAATAACGAGTGCTATCTGGAAAATGAATTTGACAGCACCAAAAGTTACTGTATATATAAAAAAAGATTTTTTTTTTGTGCAGCCACAAAGATAGGAAAGGAAGAGCCTACAGGTTTTCGTAGTAACTCCATACGTTTGTGCAATTTGTCTTTGAAAAAAAACTTTAGCTTCTTTTATCAGCAAACATGATGGACAACACTTTTCCTATGACCTTATGACTTTAATTGCTAAGTAATTGCTTTTTAACCTAATGATCCAATTGGGTTGGATAAAGCCTTGCCTTATTAATTAGTTAAGAAATAACCTTAACTTAACTATATATAGTGTATCTTAAACTGTATTTACATTACTTTTCGTAGTCTTTTCCAGGCTGTCTTGATCCTTGTAGCTGTCAATATCTTATATATAATCTGTGAACTAAATGTTTCGACAGGGTAATGGAACAGTGACTAACCAGTCAGGATTCTCCTCTTTGGCTTTATTAATGTCAGGAGGACCAAGGTTGCTCCTCCAGCGTTGGACAGCCCCTGTGCTGACCAAAGCCAAAGCCAGCACTGGGCCACTGGTAGATACACAGAAGCAAGATGAGATGTTTTGGCAGTAAAAATAAATACTCCACTAGTATTATTGAAATTCACACATAATGTGCGTTACCTGGTCATGCTTTTCACTAGCATAGGATAGTAGTCCTCCTCCACATGCTGGGAGTAGAACTGTCTGACCTGTTCCTCGGTCAACATCACCTCTCTTTGTAGAGCCACTGAGAAACCTGACTTGTGGATCTGAGAAAGGATTTCCTCTGCAAAATCACAACAAAAAAAAATCACATTTATGGTATGTATATATATACCATAAATGTGTTTTTTTACATTACATTTATATACCTACATATATATGCATATACATATATACGTATACATATATGTATACGTATATATGTATATGCATATATATGTAGGTATATAAATGTAATGTAAAAAAACACATTTATGGTATATATATACATACCATAAATGTGATTTTTTTTTGTTGTGATTTTGCAGAGGAAATCCTTTCTCAGATCCACAAGACAGTCGGTTAGTCAGGATCATGGACTTGTCTCCTGTGTCAACAAATATGCATCAGCCGGGGTTGTTTTTTTTCCCAACCTATACTGCAGGTACGAGGGAGGCGTCCCATACAGTACATCACCACGAATATTTTACTATATTGTGTATGATTGTACTAGTGCTTTGGCACCTCTCCTCTCTCTGGCAACGTCAGGCCGGATTAGAGCCAGTGTCCTCTCCACAGGCTCTTCCTCCCCATCCTGCTTCTGTACCGAGGCTCTGCTAAAGTTGGGGAAGAAGAAGGCGAGCTCCCTGCTGGCCTGGTCGCTGTCCTCACTGCCGTGCACTGCATTGAACACTGGCTGCGTGCCGTATTGTGCCCGCAAGCTGCAGGAAGCCAGGGGGGAGAGAAGTGAGGAGAGCAGATGGTTGCTCTGCTGGTGTTCAACCAAAGAGAAGCATAATGTTTGGGTGTGTCTGATGGATCGGACCAGAATGTGCTGTTCGTTCTCTCATCCATTAGACATGAGCTTGAGGTTGTTTCCTGCTGTGTCGCTGATAAATATGTCCATAACTAAGTCTTTGTTTCATGTTAAGACAGACGGCTGACATTTCTGAATCATCTGTTTCCACACTGATATTTATGAATAAGTTCCACTAACTGACCTGTCTGGCTTTTCTCTCCTGGCTTCCTCTGTGTCTGCTGGGCCGATGAACTCACGCCAAGCTGGGACAACATTGGCAGAACCTTCGGCCTGAGACAGCACCAGGATGTGGGAGGGACCACTGGACATGAACTGTACCAGCTCCTCAAAGTAAGCCTGATCATATAAGAGGCAAGGATATATGTTACTTAAATGCAAAAAAAAAACAAACAAAGAACATGTAAAAATTCTGTGAAAGGAAAACAATCGAGATAATCACGATTAATTAGGAGCTTGATTAACTTGATTAATCCACAGATCTCATGATTAATCAGATAACATTTTAATCTTTTTAAAGCCCTAATACATATGATATGGTGCAGTTTATATTTGGTATAGCCTTACTTCTGTGCAACATTGTAGTTTTATGTTTACACATCTTAAACAGCCTTTTAAACCTTATGTTTTATATGGACCAAACGAAAATGTCACACGAGTCTGATCTGCTTTCATCCAGCTTTGTTATAGGAGATGATCTCAAAACATTAATTGCATTCATTTTACAATTCCATCACGACAAACGATCCCAACAGACTGCAAAAAAAAAAGCGATAATAATGCACTGAGCTCAAAGCCTAGACAGAATGTGTCCTTGAAATACCATGCAGTGTCCCAGTACTTCACATCCTTCACAAAACACAAGTATCCATGTAAGGATATTGACACTGCAGCTATGATGGGCAATGAATATAAATCAGGTCTCAGATGATAACAGGAGAGAAAGTGGAACGAAAATTCTTTCCACGTGTAGATTGATTTAATAAATTAGTTATCAAAACACTAGGTTCATACCTCTGCTGTTTTGTGCTGGTAAAAATTTCGAGCCTCAGCCTCAGACAGGGTTCGTTCCTCATGGGCCAGAATCTCAAATCCTGCGTCCTGTATCTGAAGAGGGGATTAACCAGGAATATCTGAGAAGATCAACTGCTTTCAAAACAGGAAAAAAAAGAAAAAAAATCGAATTCCCTTCTTACCTTCATGATAATCTCATTTGCTTTGCCGTGAGCAACAGCATCTGGTTTGATGATGGCGACGGTGTAGGATTTACTAACTGGAACTGCAGCAGAGCAACAACAACAACACCATAAACCATGTTATCAAAAAGATAACAGAAATGACAAAGATGAGGTCAAATTAATTGAATTTTACCAGTGATGCTTTCTTCATTTTGCAACTGCTGAGGCGCCTCCTCCTTTTCTTCATTATCATCATTCACCAAACCTTCATCTTTGATCTGAACAGGAACAAACAGGAAATAACAGACACGGCCTTGTCTTAGCACATGAGCTGTAAGTCCGTCTCTCTTTGTCCAGTTTACCTCTGAACATCATGTCAGAACAAGCTCATCTTTCCTCCCCAACCTCAACTACTCATCCTTCGCTCCAATCTAATTTTCAATATTCTTCAACCTGGTCACTCACCACTTTGCGTTCGCCTCCTTGCTCCAGGACCAACTTCTCTTTGGCCAGTTCTTCTAAAATAATCCTCTGGAGCTGAGGTGCGTCGGCCCCCCGCAGCACAGACACCAACCCTCCACCCTGTACATGTCCAGTAAAGAAGGGATGCTTATGGTTTGGCTAGAAAATAAATAAATAATCAAAGTACCACAGACAACACCCTGAGCCACCACTTGACTATTGAAGACATATAAACCCAGTATATATATGTATATGTATATATGTGTATAAATGTATATATATATATGTATATATATATATATTGGTATATATGTATATGTATATTACATATATGTATATGTGTACATGTATGTATAAAATACACTGTTTGGAACCCAGACAAATTCAGTCAGTGATAGTGCTTCACAAACTGAGTCCATCTGCAATAAACAGCTACTTTCTTATAGAAATAAAATATGCTATTGTTTAGCCGTTAGCATTACACCTTTGAGATAAATAAAGTAAACACTACAACCCTTTTTTTGTGGCGTTATGTACTTTCTATTGTAGCCTTGAGTCTATTTCAACAACTTTGTAGCCCAGTGAAGTCCCAGTAAAAATGAGTGAATAAAAGATAATTCTCAATAAAAAAAGATAAACAGCATCAGTGAATAAGAAGGCAAACAAAACACGAAAAACAGGTTCAAAAATAGGACAGCTAACATTGCACCATAATACCACAGAAATTTCTCAGTATTTTCTTTAACAAGTTGATGTCAATTTAATGAATTGTTTTTTAGGATGAAAAAAGTATATAAAATGTGTTGACAACATCACAACACTTTTAACTTTTTTATTATTCACACTTTTTTTTTTTATTTCTGTTCCTGTTTTTGCAGAGGCCCAGCCTGAAGACTTGACTTCCAGATACTGCACAAGGAACAAGGTTTGACATTCCAGACTGGAGAGAGACATTCACTGAAAACAAACATCAAAACTCACCCCATAGAAAAGGAACGTGGGCTCACATTTTCCTCGATACCTCTCCAAGGCATCGATGCCGTCTGCCTCGGCCTGTATATACACACACACACACACACACACTCAATGATGCATAAATCATTTACAACCTGACCTTTTCTCTATTAAATAGGTTTTTGAATTCTTACTGTGGCCAAATGTAACAGGTCATCGCCCAATTCGTTTTTAATTTTCCGTAGCAGGCTGACGACAGCTCGGCAGGGGCCACACCACTGCTGGTAAACATCAACAACTGTCCAAAGAGAGGCGGGGTCAGTGTGTGACAGACACAGGAGAATAAAAAAAAAAATATATATATATATATATATATATATATATATATATATATATATAATCTGCAGTTACTCCAGTGAACACAGTGGGGCAGCAGCGGCACACTTTATATTTTTGTCTCCTTTTACACAGACCCTAATCTTACAGGCCACTGTATAAACACACAAAGTCATAACTGATTTTGACAGTACATTAGTGAGTATTCAACTTAAACAAGAACCTCTATAAATCACTTATATTCAACTAAAAAAAACTAAAAAAAATGATACTTCTGTACATTATATACTACATACTGTATATATTTTAGATTTCTGCTATTAAGATCCAAATTCGTCTTTGCAATTTTACACAAAAAGTTTAGAGGTTCGTCATGAATTAAAACAGGATGAAATACAGACAAAACCTCCACTGTAGACTGTCTTTAACAGGTTATAATTATCATGGTTACGGTTAAAAAAGATGAACAATAATGACTGAACTGCTCTATGATTCACTGACTCTTTCCTTTTTCTGTCATATTTGCCAAATGTTTTGCGTGTGCTGTAATACATGTTCTTCATCACTGATGAGATTTCCCCTCATAGTTTTCTTTTAATCAATGCACATCATTTAACCATGAACTAGCTGCCGTCTTGTTAATTATCAGCTTATTGGTCCTTGAAGAGTCGATACGACGCCTGTACTGGTAGTTACATTCACATGGATTCGTTCTTCAGATGCTGTGCGTGACAAAGCACAGCAATGAGTTATTCAGTCTGACTAATGAAGGTCAACATGCTTCAACTGATCATGTCTTTGAGCAGCTTTGCACTAGTTCTGTGTGGGCGGCCATGTTTGACCACCATGATGACACAGACTGCTGTGAATGATAATGTTCTGTTCTATTTAAGGCAAACTTTTTCTGTTGGTTTTTTTTTTTTTTTCAAATAAACTTTTACCCGTTAACCCTTTAGTTGCCAACATCTCCTCCCACTGCTCTTGGTTCGTGACAGACACCTGGAGGAGGAAATCACAGGATAACGAAGAAATGAAAACACAGCAAGCAGAGGAGTGAGGTAACAAATTACAAAATAAAAGTTGCCTTTTCTTTTTCTGAGTACAACATTTGTCCTCTCTTCCAATCTTGCAGAACTGTTTTTTTTTTTATAACTTTCTTGTATGAAAATGTAGATGAACATTTGTCTCTCTGTTTCCTGTCCATCCTGTTTTTTCTCCATTCTCTTGTAATAGTTATTGTTCTCATCATATCTACTTTTCATGATCTTGCTCAGTCTTTCTCATTCTGATTTTTAAAAATCTCCAATCATCTACATTATAACATGATTAGTATTAGTACTAAGAAATACTAATACTACTTAGTTTTTTTACTCTCATCTTCTCTGCATTTATTCTCTTTTTAATTCTCGTCTGTCCTTTAGTCCTTCTGCTTCCTTCCGTTCTATTATCCATCATGTTTAACCCCAAACTATTTTCTTTCCATTTATTCAATTTTTCATTGTCCTTTTTCATCAAGTTCTCTTTATCACACCCTCCCTCTTCCTCGATTCTCTCGTTTTCTTCCGTTATTTTTCTCCAGTTCTCCCTCGTTCATTCATTCTCACTCTCACTCATACCAACCTGCAGACTTGCTTCTTTCTTCTTTCCTGTCATTTCTATCTATATTTCAGCCTAAATGTTATTTGTCTATTGTGTCTATGTTGCGTCACGTGGTGAAACTCGGATGTTTTCAGTGGTTGTTTGCGGCGCTTGGTTGCTAGGCAACAGTGATTTCCTCTTCCTGGGGGGCGTGTCTCATTTACACAGAACTTTTTTTTATAAACCTTTTTTGTTCGTAAGAATCCGCTTTGAATATTAATTACTTGTGTTATCGGTAAAATAATTACTTAATTGAGCTTAGGGCTACTATCAACCCTGCCTATCATCCTCTGCTGCCTCTTAGTGGTCACCGAGGAAACAGCAAGTACCTTAAATGGACAGTTGGGAACTCTAACATCCAGCAGTAGAGAAGACATTTTTTTATTTCTAATTTTCTTAAATACTTTTTACTCACCTCCTTCTGTATCAATTCTCCTTCAGCTGTACCTCCTTCTTCCTAGTTGTTTTCTTCTTCTTTTTCCTAGATTTCTACAGGATAACAGACAACATTGACATATTAGAGAGTAGAGTAGAGTAGGGCTTAGCTTTGACTTCTTAAATCATTCCACCAACTGTTATTAGAGTGTTATTTAAAAAAATAACTGTAATTAGTTGTTTTCCTCTTCCTAGCTATTTTCTTCTTCTTCTTTCTATTTTTGTTCTTCCTTTTCCTAGTTGTTTTTTTCTACATAATTGTCTTTTTCGTCTTCTTCTTAGTTGTCTCCTTCTCTGATGGGGACCTCGACCTCCAAAACTCTGCCTGATTTTGGTGGATGGATCCCCAGGATGCTGAGTCACATTATTAGGTATATGTATAATATACAGTGGTGTAGAACATATTTACAGTTTTTTTTTAGCTTTGACTTCTTAAATCATTCCACCCACTACTCTACACTAACATGCAAACTGAGCAGTGATTGACGTTAAGAAGCAGCACATTTTTCTCACTTCCATTTAAATGCCCATTTCATTTACATTCATGCAGTCTGTGGTCATAGCCATGTGTCATCTGTACAACGTTCACACTCACACGTTCCTTCTCAGTACTGTAAGTGTGGACGCCGCAGGGAGGATTCGTCCAACTGTACCATTACACCTTTACCCACCAAAGTGATCAAACCACTTGTGAATGTTCTTCCCCAATCCATATCAATGAGCTGCTGCTCTTCAGTGGTTTCAGCTCCATAGCAACCACGCTCAGAGTGGGCCCTGAAAAGCAAGTTGCACAATTAGAGCAATTTCCAGGAGAGTCATATCACAGTCCTCTGTGACAGTAAGAGAGGAGAAAATTATAATATAAAAATTTTTGAAAAAAAAAAACCCTTAGAGTGGATTTTTGCCTTCCACAACAGCTTCACATTTTGTTTTTCCTCACACAGCTGCAGATACTGTATATTACAGTATGTAACTATTAAGAAAACCTGTGTTTCATTGTGAGGTTTTTATGCAGCCAGATGGAAACATTGTTTTCCCTTTGTCACGACTGCTGTGATGAGGTCCTGACACGAACCTTTTAGCAGAGAAATAACATTCATACTGTGATTGCAGAACATGTGGTGCTGCAAATTGTGCTCAACAGTGATTGCTTTTGTTCTGTCAACACATACAGAAACTGGATGGATGCTTTGGGCACAGGTAGGCAATTCTTTAACGCATAACTGAACATAATTAAAGTAATGACATCCAGATGTAGGTATTTCTCCATCATTAAATTCCTCATTTGCATTTGCATTTTTTTGCAGTCAAAGATGGAGTTGATCAAAATACTTTGAATAACATGTCAGTTTTACACACGGTGTGAGAAATCAGTTTCTTCAACCAAGTTTCTTCAGGTTTTTTTGTGTGAAACCTTTTTTATGAAAAAAGGTTTTTGGGGTAGCTCCTCCCCCTACTATAATTGTAAAGTCTGATCAACTCATCAGAGGTACCATCTGTCTCAGATCCAGATCATCTTCATATTTTACTGTCAAAGTTCTGTTTCATAATCATCACAAAATCAAAACGAGTAAATGATTTACCTTCACTGAGGCTAGGTTGATTTTAAAGCCAGGGTCAGACACTGGCACGAGGGTTAATGTCTTCTATGTTCTCAGCAGGTCGTCAGTCCTTCAGTCCTCACGTCAGACTTCTTCCTCTTCCCTGGTGAGTCACCGTTAATCTCACTTCCATCAGGGAGGCACAGAGGATTTGGATCCTGACGGAGTTGAAGATTAATCTTCATTAGTGCATCTTAAGCACAAAAGTCATATTTAAGCCCCATTAATGTCGACATTTGTTGTGTTTAATTTTGAATAAACACATTTTTGAAATCGTAAGATCGTGCAGGCCCAAAGGATTTCAATCTAATTATCCACAAACTAACAGAGAGAGAGAGAACACAGTGTGCATCTGATATACCCTGTCTTCAAGGAACAGAAAATGTTCCCTGTTTAACAAGGGGGCGCTGTTGCCTCATCAGTAACACACACACTGCTCTGAGGTTTTTTAGGGCAGGAAAGCCCTGTGCTCTCAATATGCTGGTATTTTTTATCAGCTGCTCCAGGCCTTAAACTTATCATGTTAGCTATATAACAATTGAATATAGAATAGCCTCATTTTTTGTGGGTATTTTTGTAAAAAAAAACAGTCAGGGTTTTTATAGGTGAGTGCGAATGCTATTCCATCTGGTTTCTACTCCAGGCTGTGTTTAGAACGACTGCTGTGCTGCTTTTTCTGATACAGTGCTGGATGAAATGGTAATCCTCCCCCTGCCCCCCGAGCCTTTAAGACAAACCTGACCCTGTATGTTCACACATCAGTCCAGAGGAGAAATGGTTTGTTCCATATTTGCTGTGACAATGACTATTTTATACAGTCAGTGTCATTTATCTGCAGCCCTGTGACTGTCAGTCCGTATGAAGCTTTCTTCTCATGTCAGACTGGCAGCTGTAATGGTGACAGAGGAAGCCAGCACTGACAGAGTCATCTGCATCTAAATAAAGACCGCCAGTGGCTTTGTCACAGTCCATTAGGCAAATTTCCGTATTTGATAAAAGCATCAACCATGTTTTTTTTTTTTAACCATCCATTTGATATGAAATCACCATGAAGCAAATGTAGTTTGGCTTTTGTTTGCTTTCCAAAACATGCAGTGAGCCATGAATGAAAAAAGAAAATCCACTAAGATATCATTTTGATGCTTATTGTGATTGATTAGTGGCATTTTTGGTGCAACACATGGGTTAATTCACATCAGGTGCACCAAGAAAGAAAATCACACTGGGCTGAAAATGAGGTTGAAAATGTGTAATTTCTTATGCTTGTTGCAGCAGACTGCTTGAATAATGAAGTGTTTTTTTTTTTTTTTCAAGTCTGTGTTTTTCTGCTGTCAATTCCAGCTCCAGAGAGTTGTCTTTTTAGTTGTTTTAAAACTCTGGCATGAAGATTGGAGAAAAACACCCGTCACCTTCTGAGACCCTTACAGATTACACAATGATGAGAAAAAGGGCAGGACAAGGAAGTGGGTCAAGGAAGGAGCAGTGGAGTACTGATAGGGTCAACGATCTTGATGTCAGTGAGAGAGCGGACCACAGAATCAGGCTGAGAGGTCAAGTAACTCACAGTATGTGATAGGATGTGTACAGGATCAAAGAAGTGTCCTCAATAACTGGCGTTCCACTTACTGGACTGTTCTGACTCCTTGGCTTCTGTACAGTTGTGATTGCGATGCCACTGACATGAGAAAGATGGAGGCCGACCCACACGGTGGAGGAAATGCAGAGAACCTGGACCTCGACCTGGTGATCGACCTTGGCCCAAGGTAAGAATCATTCACTGATGTCAACAGTTACACTATAAAAGAATAACATGGGTTGATATGTGATGTGTATGTGTGAGTGTGTGAGTTATTGGTGAACCCACGTGTAAGAAACTGTTGCCTCTGAGCTCATCTCACCTGCGTGGCCATTGTTAACCATGGGGCACTGAGGTGAAATCTCTCTATCAGCGCTCCCAGGAGATTGGCTGCTCCACCATCACAGATGTGCCTTCAATACTGATAATTCCAGCTGATGCCTGGTCTGGTTGGAAAACACAAAGACCCCGGGGGCATCCGCGACAGCAGCTAGGGCAGAACTGAAAAAAAAAGTCAAATCAAACCTATTAAGTGAATTAGGAGATGTCTGCAGAACAGTGTGTAATTGGTTTTGTGTTATCGTCCTAATGCCAGATAGGTGCTAATTGAAAAGCTGGTTTGTTAGCAGGGAGACAGTCTTTGGGAGGGTGTGAGTGGGAGGGGTGGCTTGTGGTTTGAAGGTCTTGTTCCAGATAGCCTTTCCAATGATTACAGATAATAGACCGTTTGTACGGACGCCTTCGGCTCTCTCACATCTAATTCCCTCGTCAATTTTCTGCTGCTTTCATTTGCCCACAGCACCTGTGAAAGTAGAATTCAATGGAACGTAATAACATGTTTTATTCTGATGTTAAGACTTTATTGCCATTATCACAAGCAGTATTTTTATTTCTGCGCAGTCTTTTCACACTCTTGTGTGCAGCCTGTGTGTTTGAGGGCAAAGTGAGTCAAGATAAAATATTCATCTTGAGGTGGCTTTTCGTAAAATTGCAAAGGGTTTTCTGATTTTTTTTTTTCTGTTTTCCTGAGGCTGCTCTTACTCAACCTGTTGGATGCGGGAGTTCACTGACTCTGAATTGTTCTGTACAAATGGTGGTGAGAAATAGAGGAACAAACTCATCTGCTTATATACAAGCTTTAGGGTTGGAAACAGAGCCGAGAAAAAAAGATGTCATTCGCTGCTGTGTGATCATTCGTGGAGGAATGCTACCACAGGGACACGACACAGCTTTGCTCGAACAAACCCTCTTTCTTATACTGTTGCGTAACTTTAAAAAAATGCAGTAAAATAATTTTACTAGTACAAATAAAAGTACAACGACAGAACTACAATTAGTACCATAAACCAAACATAACATAACCAAGGGCAAAATGTAAGTGTTAAAAGGCCGTTCGGGTGCCCCCGGGCCAGGAGTTTGGGCCCATTGTCCAACGCTCTTTAAATCTTTTACAAACTCATAATGACAGGCTATAATATTTCACTTTTTTCTCTGCTATATTTTAAGAGAAAAAAATATCAAAAGAAGACCAACAAACGGTGTCAAGCCTAAAACAGAAAACCTGTTTTGTGTTTTCAATCATTAATAGAAAACATTTTCTACATTTTTGTCCTCTACCTATAAGTATACAACTAAATACCTGAACCACCGTTTGTACAGTAGCTTTGCGTGCATGTTTTATAACTGTACCATCATTTTTGATAGTGTTTTCAAGCTGTCACGCAGAGTTTAAAGAAAGTTAACCTGCCCCTGCTGTTGTGCTTCTTTTCCTCAAGAGTTAAATCTCCTTGTAGAGAAACTTTCCACTCTGAAGTGGCTGCCAAGTCCTTCTATTTTCTGCACACAGAAGTGATGAGTGGCAGTGGTGGATTTACTCCCTGACCTATTTGGCCATGAAAAGTGCAAAAGAATAAAAAATGAAAAATGCCTCTATCTAAAAGCTCATAATCCCTTACCCTCAGACAAAGCTGCAGTGGCACGTTTTGAAGGCGAGTCCATGAAGGATGTGACAGGTCGCGTTTCTCTGACTTCTGTTTTGAACCGGCACTATCTGTGACTCTCTGATCACTTCGATAATGGCTGACAGCATGCACGTGGATTACTTTGAGGTCTCGTAACCTCACATGATTTTTAGTGTCCCCGGAGCTGCAGATGGCACAGAATAAGCTGTGAAAGTGGAGCATGGAGCAGCGATCATTGGCATGCAAATGTGGTGGAAGGCTGAGGTGCTCACTTCTGCATCACTCTTTCATTTCTCCTATCTGTGCACGTCTGTGTGCTGCTCACGCTGTAACAGTTAGGGGGTGAAGTGGAGGAGTTATCCTGACTTGACTTCCACCGCTGAATCCTCTAAAAACAGAACTGCTTGGAAGGTGGTTTTCAGTTTTTAAGTGGTCCGTGGAAAACTTAACTGTCTCTGGAATGCTGTAGAGAAACTGCTTCGTTTTTCGGGCTGAGATTTTTATTTATTTTTTATTTATTTTTGTGCAGATTTGGATTCTTCAGTCTGGCTGTGAAGAAGAAAAAAGAAATGGCACTGAGTCTTGCACATCCACCGCTGTTGCATGGGGATAGCTGACATGCTTTATTCAAAGTAGGGTTGCAGTAACGGTGATGTGTCTGATTCACAACACAGGATGGACTTTCACCAGAAAATTCTATCAAAATTGTGCCACAAGGCTGCACAGTAACAGGGAGCTGACATTTCAGGCTTTAGTTAAATTAATATTAATGAGAATAAAAACCAGGTACAGGCTAAATGTGAAGGTATTAAAAAAACATAGAATCATACAATAATTATCCCTTCAGTCGGTGTGTTCATCTGCAGACACACTGCCCTCTGCATTTTCAATTTCTTCTCTTTATCATAAGAGTATTTATAGACCAAGTAGGTGGTTCTAATGAAATGTCAGAGGATGGCAGTACTCTGAAACAAACAGAAAGACTCTGGGAACTCTGGGTTAGCACAGAACTGAGCCTTGGAAAGCACGTTAACTCACAATGTAATCTTTAAATCTTGTTTCAAAATTGGATATTTTTCAAATCTATTTAAAAAAAAAACCCAAGAGCTGTGTTGTCGAAATTAATCTAGTCAATTTGTTAAGATTAGGCTAATAAAAAATCTAATCAATTTGTTAAGATTAGGCTAATAAAAAAAAGATGACCTTGTTAAAATGACATGTGCCTTATATCCAATTACAACAGGCTTCATCTTCCAGTCAGACACCAGGACATCAACACAGTTTAACAGCAGTTGATGTCACCTGTTTTTTAAGTTCATACCCACAACAATAACTGTAATTGAATTAGCTTCGTCAGTGCAGCTAATCGGACACGGTCGTCACATTCATTGACATTCTGCAGGGCACACTCTTATCAGCAAACACTATTGTGAGGATACACTGTCTGAAGGCCAAGCTTATCTGCTGCTGCAGGATTGAATGGCATCCTCTCCACTTTGGCTGTGTTAAACTGCACTTCCCCACAGTGGAAGAACAAGCTTGATATATTTAACATGGCCGGATGTTCTATCATGTCTCTTTCTACATGATTGCAGCTGTTCTAAATTGGAACCCACTAAGAAATCTGAAGAAGAAAGAAAAGCCGAATGTTTTTATTTTTTTAAATGTAGATAATGTATCTTAAAGATGTTCAATGCAGGTAAAATGTCCACTTAAAACAAACTTCAATGCAGGTAAAATCCATCCATCCATCCATTTTCATCCGCTTATCCGTTACCGGGTCGCGGGGGCAGCAGTCGCCACCCAAATCACATTGCACCGTACCAAACCTTCCTGCGGGTGGTGAGTCCACTGGAAGGTACCAACCGCCCTAACCGGGATTCGAACTTGCCCAGGAGGTGAACCCTGGGGTTCCACACCAATGACAGAGACATTGCCTCTGGGCCAAAGCGCCACTTGCAGGTAAAATGTCCACTTAAAACAAATACATTAAAGAAGTAATTATGTTTTGGTTATAGAAAAGCTGGACAAGGTAATTGAAGGTGAATAGTACACATTGTTCTCATCATATGTTCTATGAGTTTATAAAAGTTTATAATTGTTAATGCATCACTAGGGCCAACAATTAAGGTCTGTGGGATGATTTGTTTCGATTCGTTTCTCTGTGGGAATTGGCAGAAGGACCTGTTCTAAAGTAAGAGATCTGAAAACCTCCTCACGCAGTGACATTTAAAAGTCATTTTTAACAGACGGAGCTCTGTGTGTCTCATTTTCTATACAGACTTTGTTCTCTTTGGCTCGAGGATACGGCACGTTTTCATGCTGATTTGTACTCACCGAACCTCTTACGACAGTAATTATGTAAAAAAAAAAAGAAGAAAAATAAAGTTCTTCTGTTGTTCCGTTACAGACACTGCTTGTATATATACATAAATATGCGTGTCAAAAATATTGTCAAGAGCCAGAAAAAAGCCAGAGGCTACTGACAATCAAAAGTTTGTCTAAAAGTGGTTAGCATACTGCTCAAAAGTTAGCCAAAATATAGCCACTACAGTGCTAAATGAATCTGACCTTTAAAAGGCACACAGTGCCACTGAATGAAATTCCAAAAATTTTAGAGATTCAATAATTAACTGAATGATTACCACAACAGAGAGGTTTGAATTTCCCACACCAGGCACAGACACAACGCTCTGTCATTTGCATTCTTCTGGAGTGGGGTTCTCTGCACCTGATGAACGCCTTGTCTGCTCCGGGTCTGGAGGGAAATATCATTCTCGTCAGCCGCCGCACGCTCTGCTCATCTGCTTGTCATAACTTTGTCTGTTTGCTGTTTAATGTCAGGCAGGTCGGGAACATTACGACTGACGGGAAGTGCGGAGTGCTGTGATGAGAGGTGATATTTCTCTGTGGGTGAGTTCATCAGCGCTGCTGCTGCTGAAACCTTTCACACTACACACTCTACAGCTCCCTGTTAGTATGCAACACTTTCATTAACGCTTCTATGAAGTAACTCATGTTATGCTGTCAAATGTGTCTTGTATTTCACGTTCAGATTACTTTATCTTCCTGCCTCTGCTTAACTTTTTTTTTTCTCCTACTCATGTGACATTTGCAGAAACATGAGATGATAAGGACGTTCTGCTGATGATCTAAACCATTGTTTCCCAAAGACTGGGTCGCAACCCTCAGGTAGGTCACAAGACATTTTTTATTTTTTTGGGTCGTCTCGCATCATGTTTCCCAGGAGTTTATGAATAATGTCTGTTGATTTGGGTCGTGAAGGTTTGTGACTTTTAAAATATGGGTCCTCAGAAAAAAAGTTTGATCTAAACAATGTATATGTCATGTACATGAAGTCCTACTTTGACAGCGGCAGAATCGCTGCTCTCTCACACAGCTCACAATTAAGCCTTTTCAGAGGGCGATTGTCTGATTATCCGCTGGAGAGCTCGTGCCTCCCCCCTTGGCCCCCCCTCTTTGCTCTCTCCCTCCAATGCTCTGAAGCCTCCAGCCCCGTAAGTTCAAGCGACAATCAGCTGCCATCGATCACTGATGCAGATGAGAAGAGCGGGGCTCTGTGGAGCCACTCAGCCTGTTGAACATCACACAGCCCGGGCAAAGTCCCAGAATGCAAATCATCTTCAGTGGATCTTTTTCTTTTTCAAGGGCACTCAATAGTGGCAGCCTTTTTTTAACGCCTCGTGCCTATGTGCGTAATTAATGATGAAAGTCATGGAGGAGGCTGTGTCACAGGGAGGCTGCTTACTGCACGGCACGTTGTTACCATGACATTTAGCCACGGTATCAGACTGATGAAGCTGTGACACGCTGACTTCATCACTGAGAATATTTTTGTATTATTCATTTGTAAAGTATTGAAAAGATTTAGCTTCATACATAATCTTTACATATAGTAATACTCTCTAAACCAGTGGTCTTACCTTTATCAGTTTGGGGGTCTCTGACCTGGAAATATTAACCACCCCTACTTTAAACTTGTGCATTTAAAAAAAAATCAATAACATTCCATAAAGCTGTATAGGAAAAATCTTTAGATTTCCTCTTTTTTTTAAATTACCTTTAATAACAGTCTTTATTTTTGGGTTACATTGCTTTTTTTGTAATAACTTGGAGTCAAAAATGGAATCAACAGTTGGTCCACGTAAATTTGTTTTTTTTCTTCTTGTGGTTTCATCATTTCATCATTTTCATCACTCGTCCACACGTTTGTACAGTCCATCCGTTCCTGCCATGAAGAGGTGGACCTAAAGGGACTCTTTCATTCCGACGTCTCTTAATTTCTTTAAGTGTTTGACCTCTCCGTTCCTGCCGAGGTCTTTGAATCCAAGGCAAAATGCTCCTCACGGTACTCATGTCTAAGTAATTTAAAAATTGCTCCAGCAGGACCAAACCTTATTATAGCAGCCTCGGAGAAGAACCGTCAGATGTTCTGGTAGATTTCCCCTGGGACAGGGTGAGAAAGGCAGAGGTCTGGGCAACTTTGTAGTCTGCTGTGACTTTTGGAAGCTCGAAGACGTTCTTAACAGGAAAAAGGCGTTCTTCATTTCTTTTCAATACCGACTTTATTCTCTCCAGGATACGACTTGTTTTCATGCTGAGTCGACTCGGTGAAACTCATTTAATGGGTACTGAAGTAAACACATCTACAACGTTATCCAGGGACAAGCCTGCGATGTCTTTAATCACAGATATGCAGACATAAAAAAGACGTTTTTCCACAATGAAAAGATGACATGTGTCTTTGAAAAGGATCTTTTGAAGTAGTGCACACTCCAGCACCATGCACTAACCATGCACTTTCACTGGTTGTGTGTTTGATCCAGAGGCAGACAGAGTCAGCGAGTCCACTCTTAATTATTCATCACATTTTAAAAGACAATATAAATCCTCCCAGGCTCTTTGAAAGGACAGTAATGGCAGCTCACAGGGTTTTAATGAGGGTTAAAGGAAGCGTCTCCCCGGCAGAGGACGACCGGAGACACCTGTGGATTCGTTCCCTCCCACGGAGAGGACCCCCTACTGTTTGTCTAGGAGTAAATACACTGTTGCTAATTGCGTATTTGTAGGCCCCGGTGGCTCAGTGGGTTAAATGCACGTGTTTCTGACAGTAATTAAAGTTGTTACCAGGTTGTCTTCAGCCTCACAGCATCCTCTTCACACCTATGCTACTAGGTCTAACCATCATTAACTTTGTCACAGCAGAAGAAAACGATCACTGCATACACACAGTACGTGCTTGAGACAGTACTGAGTATCTGTGGTATTTTGTGGTTTCCCTGGTTCAAAGTCAGCGACGACCACATTCACTGTGTTTACAGCTGTTGGCTGACGGAGGCTAAGGCTAAACTAATCTTAAAGCACTGACCCGAGTCATAACAGTTCACAGAGGGGGGTCAAAGCCATTCACCGTGAACCGGACGTTGAATGTACGTTCCTTAGATTCTCCCTGCAAAGACATCGATGTCTGGGTTGTTTCCTTTTTTTCCTCATCATTAGTAAACATGAAACACTGTCAGGGTCTGATTACCTTTAAAATGTGTTTTTTGGGAACAAATGGGAAACAGCCACCAACCATTGTGATTTCAAACCGCCTGCTGTCAATGACTTTATCTTCATTTTCTTCCACTTCAACGCTTTCAGTGTAGCAGGAGACGCTGGAGTGAAACCCTGCAGCCACCGTGGAGCAGAAACAGAGAACACCCTGCAGAGGTCGCCAGCCACATCAGAACAACCATTCACACTCATACAGAGGTCAGTATGGAGTGCCTAGCATGGCTGCTAATTTCGGTGTTAAACTAATTTCAATAATGCATGTAATCATGAACACGTCACTTCCAGCAAAGTCCCAGAAATGTTGTTTTCCAGCCGCGGTGACCATCACGATGTTTTCTGAGGCCTTCGTTGTTTGTCATTGTGTCAGTTACTCCCAGGAGACATCACAGCAGCGCTGGGTTTTGTGTCAGGTGTTGATAAATGTGACAGCCACTCGCACCGTCAAGGGACACTGTGTGGTGGTAATAATGAAGGAGCTCACCTCTTTATTACCTGTGGGCCCAGAGGATGCACAATAAAGGCTGCTGTGTCGGCATCCAGTTGATGAGTTCAGATTGGAATCAGTTTTGAAGGATTTTAACATCTCATCTTCAGCCCACATCCACGGCAGGCTGTGTTTCTACGGTGGAGAAATATATAGAATCAGTTTTCAAAAGTAACATACATCCTGTAAATGGGAGATAGACCTGGAAAATGTTGTCTTACATGATTGAATTATCGAGTAGCCACTACTACAAATAAAACACACAACTGTTTTATTTGCTCCCTTAAGCTACTTTATTAAAAAAAACAATGTATTTATCCATATATAACAGATATAAAACCTTTAATTCCTACACTTTTAAATTCCTTCTTAGTGACAGCGGCTCTTCATGGCAGAGGCAGGACATTTTACAGCTCTGTGACTTTTCCAGTAAAATGTATATTTTAGGTGTAAAATTCATAAAACCTTAGAACCATTTTCACTCAGGATGAGTATTTCACTGAAATATTCTTTTCTCATTTTTTACTTAATTGTGAGCAGCTATATAGAAATAGGCAGCAGGAAACCAGACTCTCTTTCCCAACCTCCACATTCTTACCCCATTACCCTTTATCCTTTAGGCGAAATTGAGAATATACTCTTGAAAAGGGCTCTCACTCCTCACTCCAGATCAGAAATGTCAATCATTCGGAGGGAAAAAAAACCCGCCTCCACTGCTCAAACTCAATCCTGCACTGCTAAATTAGCTGTCATGGAGGACATTAACCTGTCATCCTTGAGGATGAGGAACATGTTTCCTGACTACAGATGCTCAGTGACTGTCACTGCCTGGATTGGTCCTCGCCTCTCTGCCCAAGAGAACCGACTGCACATAGTACATGGATAAATGCACGAGGGGATTTCCATCCCCACTGCTCCTCGCTCAGTGCCCAACAACAACATCTACCCTCATCGTCCCCTGTTGCACTACACCAATGGAGGCAGTGCATGAAGTTAATTTGGTCCCTGTGGGTAAAGATGAAGTATCGCTCATTGTGCAAGCTAATGGCCTGCACAAAGCTTTCAAAATGACAGAATAGCTCAGTCCCAGAGTTGAAAATAAAAATGAGTTTCAGCCTCTTCTCCATTGGTGATAACTTTGTCTACTGTGTTACCACAGAATTGTAAACACAGCTTGTTTGGTCTGTGGTCTCACTTGTGTAAGAAAAGGACATCTCTGTATTACTCTGAAGGTTTTATTCGTTGTTCC